CTGTCACCATCACACAGATCACAGATGGCTGAGGTCTTCAGGACTATGCTCTCTGTGATGTCATAATAGTAAGAAACCAGGGAGGGGATCGCCACATCAATTCATTGCATCTGGAGCTATACCTGTGGCTGGGGTCACTGGATTTGATCCAGGTTTATATAGGTGAATGATATACTTAAAGCCTAAGCAAATATTCAATGATATCTCTAAAAAGACTGAACAAATTTTCAACTTACAATAAAATTAGAATAATCAGAAGGGTCCCCTATCTTTTGCAGGTAAGTGACTTAAAATATATTAAGTAATTCTTTGATCTTTCTCTTTCACCTTAGACATTTGTCTTGGGAAATAAATGTTTTGGCTACCTGGCATAGCACCCTGCTGTCTGCCATGCAATTATAAAATAAAACATTAGCATTACAGCTGTAGTTTCATAAAAACCTTGGCTTCTCTCCCCATCCCTCAAAGCACATGTCTTGGTTAAAATAAACCACTATCCTAAATTCAGTGTTTTCTGTTCTCCATTTCCTTAATTGTTTTCCCTGAAATTGAGCATGCTTTTGCTTTGCTTTTCGTTTGGAAAAACATGAACCTCTAGGGTTCCAAGTGAATTAAGGAGATGGCCTGTACTACATTAAGGGAAGACTTCCCAAGTCAGGAATGTGTGAAATGAGGCTTGATGGCCTAGGTAGGTCATTTGTGTGGGGAGAGGTATTACTCTTAGTTGGAAATGAGTTTTTGTTTGATGATCTGATTCTGACACCCAATACAGATCACCTCCCATGACTCCTCTATTTCCACAGTTCTTGTCCCTGCTGACACTGTTGTGGTAGAGTACCTTCAAGTTAAAGGTTAGTTCACCATTTCCTTCCTCAGTCAGCCTGACTCAGTGAGTGAAGTAGTCACTTAAACGACCCAAGTATGGGCAGGTGTGCATGCACACATCCACACTATAAATCAAAATAGGTAATGTTGGCTCTTTGGAGTACCTTACAAAGTCAGACTGCAAAACAGATGTGGGCACACTCACACTGACGGTGTCCCTCCTTTTCTTCACCCTCGGGAAACATGTGGTGGCCCTCTCCTCGTGGTAATATGCAATGGGGTCCTAAGTGCGACCTCTAAGATACTGGCCATCAGGAAAGTTTTATTGTTCAAGTAGAGGCTGGGGAAACGAAGAGTTGATTCTAAATAAAGCATGGCTAGAATGAATTCAGAGAGTAACTGTATTTTGGCTATAGTCTCGAATAGGCCATAGCTAATAAACTGCCAAGCTTTCCTCAAAGTACATGAGTCTTAAGCCGAATATGAATGAAAACCAAACCACATACTAAAGCTGCCTTTAGTTTCTGACATTTAATTCTAAGTAGTTTTCAGGAGTAGGCCTCTTTTTGGAAGTTTCTTTAGCCCACCTGCTGTGGAAATTTGAAGCTTATCATTATAGATTCTATTGAGCAAGAAAACAGCTTTGTTTTTGCACACTACTGTTTCTATCACGTCTGTGGTCACGTTCTCACCCCTATTTCATTTGCTCTTTCAGGTGGGTTACTAGATATAATATGGCCACTCTTCCTTTTCTGTGTCTTTGCACCCTTCACTCCTGTCCATTATGTGAATTCCCTCATGGTAGACTCACATATACATTATGTTTTCTATCAATTTCATCCTGAAGGAAAATTTTCTCCAGACTTCAGACCTGCAGCAGTTGGGACAGACCGTTGTGTGAGCTGGCCAGTGGCTCTCATTTTGGTATCTTCAGTGATAACTGGGAGAAATCCCTTTTCTGGATTGTAGACTTCTTTCTTGTGTTAGCCCTCTTTTCTTGGCAGAGCAGTCTATTAATTTCCTAAGGACAAATGCTTAAAATCCTGTCTGTCTGAAAATATCTATTTTTATCCCTGTATTTGACTGAGAGTAGCCGCATACAGTTTTAAGTTACCATCTGTTAGCTTCCAGTATTGCTGTTGAAAAGGCTCCAAATTTTAGGCCCTTCTTTGTTTCTAGTATTTAGAAATTTACACAATGATGATATGTTTTTAAGAGTCAAAGACTCCGTTTGAAGCTCTGGTTCTAGTCACATCAAAAGCTCTTGGACTTCCCAGTAAGAGCTAATAAAATTCCTTTGAGACAAAGATCTGATGATTCATTGGAATGCTTTTATGTCCTTTCAGTGACTCTACAACAAACATCACAGTCAATGTCTATTTCATTTATTCATATTCTTTCCTTCATATATATAGTCTCTCTCTATATATATGTAACAAATATTATATATATTATATACAAACATATTATATACAAACATATACATATGTTTGTAACATGCCCATACTTTACTAGGAGTGGAGAATACAATATAGCAGAACTAGTTCTGCCCATATGGTGTAAACTGAAGACACACACACACACACACACACACACACACACACACACACACACATCTGCACACATCCACAGTACATGGAATAAGGGCATAAGGTAGCCAAAGATAGCACAAAATGGTCCCTGCCCACTTCAGCATCAAGTCTTCCTCTTTCCTCACTTGCGTATGACCACACTAGTTGGGGAAATTATTCCATCTCTCCCATAGTACTGAGTTTACAAATGCTACACTGCCTAGTTGGGATGCTCTTCCTCCTTTTGAAAGGTCTAATTCCTACGCACAGATAAGCTTTCACCCCCTTCTTTTTTCTTAAGATTTATTATTTATACAATACTCTGCCTGCAGGCCAGAAGAGGGCACCAGCTCTCATTATAGAAGGTTATGAACCACCATGTGGTTGCTGGGGATTGAACTCAGGACCTTTGGAAGAACAGAGAATGCTCTGAGCCATCTTCCCAGCCCCTAGCTTTCATCCTTACTGCCACTTTTTCTAAAAGGCTCTTCCATACTAACCCATCTTAATTTGCTGCTCCCTACCCCCCTCCAACCCCCATTGTTCTCTTCTTGGGACCTACTATTTCTTTACAGCATTGTATTTTTCCTTCTCAGTGCATGTAGCACCCAGGGCAGTTCCTGACACAACAGCACCATTGAAATGCTCATTGAAGGAATCTGTATTTTTGTAATCCTGAGATAAGTAACACCACACCCCACAAGGAGATCTTTGGAAGGATTTAACAGTTTACCTGAAATAGTTAAGCTTCTCTTAGACAAACTAAAAATCACATTGTTTCCATTTTAAGAGTAAGAAAGATAAAACTGGAGGAAGGCATGGTAGTACATGCCTATAATCTTAGCACTTAGAAAGTATGAAGGTCTCAATCAGGTTGGAGCCCATCTGGATTACACAGTGAGACTCTTAAAGGAAAACAGAACAAAACCCCTAAACAAACAAATCCCTAAGTTGGATGTTTGGATATTAAATGAACATAGCAGGAGGGTCATCATTGCAAAAAGGTCATAATTCAGTCTGTCCTACATTTTGGAGGCTAAGAATGTGATCCTTTTCTCCTCTAACACTCATGCTCTGGGAGAAGTAATTCAATAAAGACCACAAGGAACACAGATTTCCTAGCCCCAGGAGGAAGCAGTTTCAGTCATAAAACGAAGTATGGAACTCTAGTAGCTGTGAAGTTCTGTCTACACTTCAGATGGATGTCTTACTACAGTATCCACTGGGATAAAGGGAACGGTGATAGAAATGGTCATGTTACTTGCTTCTACTCTTTTCTGTTCCTCCATCTGCCATTTCCAAGTTGTAAGGTCCTCTCCACTCTCCCTCCCACACCACATGCTTTTCTAAGTTTCATGGTGGTAGTCTGTTGATAATCATAAAAAAGGTAATGTTACAATCATTTATTCCAGAAAGATTGAAGCAGGAAATTGGGTCTCCTCATGTAGAAATGGAGAACAAAGAGCCAATAAAGAATTCGGTACATTACTAGGCCTGAACACGGAAAGGGTAGTGGCATGCCTAACATTTGGGGACACATTTCTTCTGGAGATGTTTTCCTCTTCTAGACTGGGTAGCCAGATGCTGAAAGGCTGAACAGTACTTGTGATACCTGAACTGAACAAGGCCTACACCAGTGTAGGCTGAAACACCCATGTGCTATATCCTGACCCGAGCAGGATCAGGATATAGTTGTTTGATTTATAGTTGTCATATTTAGGTACTCTTTGTAATCTGGCACTTGATGCCACTACAATAGACAAAGACATCCAGATCAGAATAAAATGTCAAAACAAAGTATATTTGTTCCTGATTGCCTCATTTCAGGTTTGCAGATGTAAGATCTTCACCAACTCAAAAAGTATGCATTTGCCACAAATGGATGTCTTGCTTTGCAGCCTCTATCATATCCAAGCCTCTTGATCCCAAACGTTAACAGGATAAAAGGAAGAAAATCCAATTGTGTGTGTGTGTGATACTGTAATACCATCTGAAAGGAGGAACAGGTTCTTTTGTAATTATCCTATAACTAGTATTAGAATATTTTCAAGATGGCAGAGACCAACTGACATATAACAAAACTCTTATAATGCAGGAGACTGAACACAATATTTGAATTAAAAAAAAAACTATTAAAGCATCCATTTATTTCTAGTCTTGTTAGTTTCTTGTGTGCTGTGTGTGTTTGTGAACTCAGGTCAAGTTAGAAAACCTAAGCCCTGGCCAATCCTAACAACTCCAGGGTTTCTAATGCTTAACTGCTGCCACTAAAAAACGAATCCATTATCAGAGAAGCTGCTATTTTCAAAAGATCTAAGTCCATCCAGAACTCATTCTACCACAAACAGGAACATTTGACCTTTCCATTTAAACAATCTAGCCACAAAGGTTATTGAATTTAAACTTCAGGAGATTTAAAAATAAATTTAGTCAGTGAAGGAAATTCTGAATGCCTTCTGGCATCAGAAGAGAAACACTTAACTACTCAAAGGTCATGGGAACAGGCACACAAATCCATGCTGTGGTATGGGTTGGTAATGTGTAACTTGAGTGTAGTATTCTTCACTGGCCCTTTGCCCTGATCCCAAATACGCTCACACAACAGTTTTTTCACTTCATTTATTCCTTTAAGACAAGTCACTTCATACATTTAGATATTGAAAAATCACATATCATAAATAAAATTAATGCATCTTAACAACAAAGGCAAAAATCATGAGTTGTATAAAATGAAGTCAGACATCTCCCGGGTAGCAGCAGTGCATCAACTTTGAACTTGCTGGCAAATAGACAAGCAGACATTTTGAAAGCAACACTGCCCATCCTCACTAAGAACACATCTTCTTATGCCAAAAAAACAACTCTTTTTTTCTGTTTGGCCCCTTTTCCATACCATTGCAACGATGTTCTAAGCTCTGAACTTCAGGCTTTACTGGCGGTTTCTTATTTAAAGAATTCTGCCTCTAGTGTGTTAGTACAAGCAAGGTAGGACTAGTTTTTATTTTTATCCCTTTCACCAGCTATATGTCCTTACTAGGCATTCTTTAAGAAAAAAAAATAATTTGGTTTAAATGTATTTCCTGTGGCACCTTGAGTCCTGAGTGGCACAAGTGTTAGCTGGAAACTCTTGTTAAGTAACTTATGGGTTACACTAATCTATAAACATTCTATATCACCAGTTCTGGAGCCAAGACACATCATCTCAGTAGTCATTCTCAACCTCTTTACCTATAACTTAACCAAAGCATACATTCACTATACAGTCCTACATATAGGTTGCTGGGTTTCAAAACAAAAGTAAAAAGGTGTATCATGCAAAATGCTTACATTCATGGCCTGACATATTTCCTTTTTAGTAGTACTTTATTTTACCCATCCTTTTCATTTTAAAATGCCATGAGAAGGCTTACAACCTCCTTTAAATCAGAATTAAGACATAAATATTCCATAATTCAGTATTAACATAATATTTCATTTTCCAAATAAAACATTCAAAGCACTGTAAACAAAATGCTAATTTTTTAAGAAAAAAAAAAAAGGCTTTGCACAGTCATGGAAGTCTTCTCTTCATTGCGTTGGATATGCTGACACAATGGTTATTAAGAAAGCATCCTGGGGAAAGGACTGCTGAGCAGTGAGCACTTAACCTAGCAGCAAAAGGCCCTGGTTTGATGCCTAGCATCAAACAAGCTAGCTTATTCAAATCAAGTGTCCCTTTAAGTTTACAAACACTGCTTGCATATATAACTCAAAAATCAATTTCTCTAAAAGAAGCTTGCTTAAAATGAATGAATGGTTTGATGAGTCTACCCTTTTAAAAACTTGGTGCTGTAAAAACAAAATTTGAATACTGTAAAACAAGTGATGATCACATTATAGAAGTAACCTGTTTTTATGTTAGGGCACAGAACATGCTCCTAACAGAGACTGAAATTATGCTATATCATAAGGTACAGCAAATACTGATGGCAATAGCTTATGAGAGCTGATGGCTAGCAGCTCAGGGTTGTATCTTTACTGCCCTCAAGATCTCTAGAGGGCTATGTAAACTTTTATTCTCTAATTTTTAAAGTGCTGCAAATAATGTTTCAACACACAAAAAATGTAGTACTTAATATATGTAAAATTTAAGAAGGCCACCTGATTTGTAATATATAACAAGTGTGAGTGTATCATTGTTGTTAATTTCACATACATCCTACTGTAATTTTTTCCACAAAGACAGAAAAATCAACTAGGACACCTTGAAGGGAGGAAGCTAGACAGACAAAAAAGTTAGGCATGAGCAGTTGGGGGGATAGATGGGGAAGTAATGTTAATTTGGAATCCTGATTTTTCTGGGACTTGAACCCAACAGAAAATTCAAATGCCATAATGGTATTATTTCCTAACAACAGGTTTACAATGGCCAGTAACCTCTTGACTATGACCATTCCTCATTCAGGGAGAGCAATTAAGGAATGCCTCAACCATGAATCACTAGCAAAAGATGTGGTAATATCCGGATGTCTTCTTATAGCTGTCACATCACAAAACTCCCAGGGACACTAATTTGGACTGATGCCGTGACATAAAAATACACTGACTCTCTAATCCAAAGAAGAATAAAGGGAGAATAGGGGAAGTGAGCAAAAACATAATTTTTATTCTGCCATTAATATTCTACCACTAATATAAATTGTGTCATTTTAATTGAAAGATTCTTGTAGGATAGGCAAAAGGTAAACAACAAACAGAAAGGGTTTCATTAGGACAAAGTTTCTTTTAGCTTTGTTGCAGCTAAGTTCACAGATTAAAAAAAAAATTCTTAAAATGAGTTTCCCCATATTAATAATTTCAAGAGCTTAATAAATACAGGAAAAATAGAAAACAAAAGCCTTTAAATTCTGAGGCTTAACAGCTTGTATTTAGAATGAATAGAAATTAATAATTAAATAATTTGCACATAATGCTTCACCCTTTAATGTTTCACAACACTACTCTAAAACCAATTCTCACATGAGTAAATGATTAAAAAGCCTTTTTGAAAGCCATTTGACCATCAAGTGCCTACCTGGCAACAAGAGAAACCAAGTAAATAATAAATTACAATAAGAAATAATCCCCTAAATAAATATTAAACAAGACATACAAAAAACACTTAGAACAAAGGCTTGATTTTTAGGATAACAGTGCTCATTCTATTTCTTTACATGTACTAAAGTAATCCTCTGAAGATTACGTAGACACAACTTTAAAGTGACAGTAATTTATTTTCAAAAAATAGAACATGCCTGACATGTAGGTCATTCAAATACTTGTTGCATAAACAAACTTCTGGATCCAAAATTTTAGAAACATTGAATTTCGATGCTCAAGTGGTAAAGGAAGGCAAGCTTTTTTATGATGCATAACCCAGTGCTACATTTTTAATGTACAGTTCTACATTAAATATTTTATAGCAGAAATGAGAGATTTTAAAAAAAGTATCTGGACCAGATGACAGGTACAAAGAGACTTTTGTGATAGTCATTTACACATGGTAGGAATGCCAAATGCTCAGTGTCCTAAGCTCACTGGTGCTATCTTTAAGGCTCCATAAAAAAAAGAATTTATATGACTATAGTAACTGCCATTGCCTGACTGTGTGCACAACGGGAATTCAACAAAGTCATCTGGCCAGGTATGATGGCCCTTGTTTGTAATCTCAACATTCAGAAGGCAGAGGCAGAAGGATCACTTCAAGTTTAAGGGACCTGGTCTATATAATTCCAGGCCAGCCAGAAACACATAGGGAGAATCCTGTCTCAAACCATGAAAGAATGTCATGTGATGTCTGAAGCATACTTTGTGAATTGCTCAATTGTTCCTGAAAGCAACTTTCTAATTTGTTCACTTTAACATTACTTATTTTACATGGTCACCATTACCAAGTAAAAGGCAAAGGGTTGACCTTAATTTTAAAACACTTGCTAAGATACATGGAAAAAGATGTAACTGCTTTAAAGTACAACAGTAGTTGTCTGAGATACTTAATAAAAAAGATATCAAGATAACAAAATTTCACAACAGTATGCCTCTTCACTGTAGGACAGAATACACAAGAAATTATAACCTAGCATCCCTGATCTTTAGAAGAATTAAGAGGTAGAAAACTTTACCTGGAAGATTCTACAGTGAAGCTAAGTTTTGAGAGGGTGGTCTTGAGGATCAGTCCATCAAGCAAATGGCTACATTTCTGACACTAGATTGCAGGATTCTGCAAGAGCTGTGTAAGGCAAGGTTTTTTAAAACTTTTTATATTTTGGAAGTGAAACAATCCCAATCAATTATTTAAAAACTCAAAGTCAAAGATCACAGATAAAGAACATACTAACTTGCAGAAATGTGGAATATCCAAAAGATCAGAGTGGAGCTATGAACACTGTTATCTATGGCAAAGATTTTTTTATGCAATGAATCGAAACATAGCACTGACACTTTAGAGGAAGACTTGTTCATAAGAAGTACTTTGAGCAGAAGAGCTGAGGAAATTAAATCCTCCAGAAAAATTTCTATGTAGAAAAGCAAAAGAATCAAACACTCAAATTTCAAGATACTTCTTAAATGTTAAACTAAATTAGCAATTATAAAGGCATACCCTGCTTAATTAAAAAAAAAAAATCTAATTGACAAACACCAACACATGAATTGCATTAAAATATGAGGCCAACAATCTTTTAAAGCTTCAGTAAGCTGCTTCAGGCACCTTTTCCCCTTATACATTCTATTTTTATACACTCAAAATTTCAAACAGGACTGTATTAATTCCTGTTAGAGATAACATTCTCAAAGGATATACTCATCCTTGTAAAATTATTTTTATGCACTTAGTAGTTAGATGCACTTATAAAGTCTACCAAATTGCAATATAAAAAGTTTTGACAATTCTGAGTATCTTCATTTGATGAGTCAATTCAGAATTTAGAAACAACTAACTCATTCAGTTATTAAAAGGAATCAACTACGGGAGACACTGTGATATATGTCCAGTGGCCCTCCACAAGGCTTTTCACATGACCTAAATTTTGATGTTTTCTTCTATATGTTAAAGCCACTGGGTGCTGGTTTATAATACAATCCAGTCTTCAGGTTCGCATCAGAAGTGGCCAGAACCACCTATTCCGACACCCCCGTAGAACGAGGGCATGCCATAGTGTAGACACACATCTGTAAACTTGCACACTAATTTTAATCTTAACAAGGAATCTCAGTGTCAGTCATATTGGTTTAAGTGAAAAAGATGGTCCAAGCATTGTGTTGTTCTATTCTGTAGGGTTACAAATAGCTTATTGGAAAACCCAGAGCCTTCTGGATCTGTGAGGTAGTAGGCTCCAACTCCTATCATGAACAGATCACACCTCTCCAAAGTTGGTATGGCCTGTCTCCTTGGCATGGTCCCTTGCTTCTGCCTGTCCAGTTAAGCCCTTCTGACACACCATGCATCTCAGGGTGAAGCGGTTGACATCAGTAAACTGTCGCTTTCTTCTAGCTTCCTCAGCTAATTCCAGTGCTTGTACAAGAACAATGTCATCATTTGAAGAGAAAATGGTCAGAGGAGGGGTATCTGGATCAGGGAAGTCACGCTGAAGTGGATCATAGTGGATGCCATCGTAGATAAGCAGAACCCTTTTGGTATATCCTGCATCTTCCCCAAAACGATCAATTCTGACAGTCTGTGTATCCACTACACATATTTCACATTGGTAAAACTTAGACAGAATTGATATCTCAATTGCTCCCCCCCAAGTATCATCCCTTTTGATCCACTCACAATACTCTTCATTTGTTTTCCCCAGGATTGCCTCACTATAGAAGTCTGGATCGCTTGCTACAATTTGTGCTATGAGGTGTCTCATTTCAGGGGCACAAGCAGGATTCAAGACTCCTCCTTCCACGACATAGTACACACTGGTAAAGAGGCAAGAGTTGTCCGCTGGGACTGCGGTTCTGGTAAGCACAGGCAAAGTTTCCCTGACATAACTAGGAGCACCATGTTTTGAAAATGCAGGTGAAGCTTTTGGTCTGGTTTGGTCTTCTTCAACAATCAGCATGTCACCTGTTAAAAATAAAACAAATCCAGAACTGCAGAGAAATTATACACTGGGTGTTTATTAGCCAACTTGGTAAGTTATAAACCAAATGAGAAAAGCATAAAGTGGGTTACCAAGGAGAACATAACTTTGTAAACAAAGGCCCAGTTACACTGAAGTTTGTATTTAGTTCACTGCGTCTTCAGAAAGAGGAACACAGAGCAAAATGCTTCAAGCTGCATCTCCACTTAGTAAAAAAACAAAACAAAAAAACCTGTGATATTGAAAACAAATCTCCTTATTTAAAAGCACAATGTTTTCAGATGTTTACCACAGACTAGATAGGTCACCGGGGTATTCTCTTCGCAGTTCACCATGGCTATACCATTTGATGTTTCCAGGGGCCTTGACACGAAATGGAAAGCTTTTAATTGATGATCAACACTGACGTTCAAGTTCTAATTCTAGGGCCAAAAACTGCTGGTTATTTGTTGGTTATTGGTTAACTCTACAGTAAAAAAACTCCTAGTGGGTGTACATAAAACAAACTCAAAAATTAACAAAAGGGAAAATAAGACAAAAATCGGTATCTCAACTGCTGGCCTGCTGATCAGTATAGGGAGAAAGAACCATCATGTCAGGAAAAAGGGTCCCGCTGTCCTTTGGGAAAGCAGAGAAAATGAATCAGACGGTCCCAAGGTTGACCTGGAAGCTGGCTTTGGGAACCCGTAACTTCGAGACTCAGGGCTTTTCTATAAAACAGCGTAAAGGGCTTGACACTTGCTCGGCCTCCTCGGAGTTCCGGTCCTGGAAGCCCCTAGCTGGCCCACCGGCATCTCGCCTTACTGGCTTCACTCTTCTCCCTTCCACGTCCTCCACGACTTCCCCGGCCCCTGCCAGTGCCCGTACCTGATTGGATGGGCAGGTCCCCAAGAGTGGTGTCCCGGTCGCTGAGGTCCAGGCACTCGGGTGGGTAACCGACGAGGATTCGCTGACTGCCCGGAGCGATCCCGGTAATAGCGGCGATCTGTCCCTGCAGTTCCCGTAAGCGCGTCCGGCTGGACAGGCCCTGCAAAACGTGGGTGCCGCCCTTGGCCTTGCAGCGGAGCCGCCACATAGTGCCGGCCGCCCGGCCTCCAGCGGAGCCAGCTTTGGTCCCAGCGGCAGCCTGGGAGACGGCGCCGGAATAACCAGCGGGGGGGACCCCAAAATGGCCGCCTTTCGCGCCTCCAAACATCGCGAGAAGTAGCCGGTGCGGCGCTTCTCGCGACACCTTGGGAGGGACACGGCCTCGGCCCTCCCCAAAACGCAGGCTCTTAAAGTGATAGGGCGGCTGGAGCTGAAGGCTGGAGGTCGAGCAGGTTTCCCGAGCGCTGCGGCGGGGCGCCCCGCGCGGCAGCATTTATGCTCCAGGGCGGAGGGCGGGGAAGGAGCTCCCGAGTCTAGCAGAGCAGAACGTCACCTTGCAGGGAGGTCGGAGATGATGAAAGCAGCCTTTCAAACACCAGGAAAAGCAGACTCAGAGTCAGGTGAACACATGCCAAGAAAGGCCAAAGGACCTGTCAACAGTCAGAGACTGCTGACCGAACTGATTCATTGAGGCCAAGTGTTCTGGACTGGAATCCTGTCCTGTGAGACGAACTTGAAAGCGTCCATCTGCCACCTCAGAAAGACTGTATTGAGGTCAAGGCCTGAGCCACTCAGGTGGTGGCAGTGACACAGAGGACTGTTGGCATCCGGATTCCAGTTCGATTCCTAGTATCCACATCGGAAGACGCTTCATTCCCGTTGTGTATGTAAAACGTCCTCCTTGAGGCTGCGAGACGGGAGGCAGGCGGGGAAGAAGAGACCTAGCCAGACGTGCTTGCCGGTTTCCAGCTCTGTGTGCCGGCAGCCCGAGACGGCCTTCCACATGATAAACAAGTCTGCAGTAAACGCCGAATAATGACAGCTTATTGCGCGCTGGAACACACTGGGGGTTGTCAAACGCATACTTGGATTGTGTGGAAGATGACCTGACTCCCAGGTGAAGAAGTAATGAAAAAGCAGCTGTAGGGGTTTTTTTGTTTTGTTTTTATCTTCATCATTTAGCTAAAGCACCAAGTCCTCCTCCCCACAATCGACTGTCAGTCTAATCACGTACCAGCAGTGTGCTGGGGCTAATTTTGAAAAGTAGTTCTGGAAATGTGTAAACCCCACTGCACCAGCCTCTACCTGTGAATCAATTACAGCAAATATTTTCCTCTCCCCCCCTACACCAGGAGCGGGTGCTGTTTTTCTCCTTCGTTCTTCAAGGTCACAGATAACACGGCCTGGGTTGGGACTGTAGGAAAAAAAAAAAAGAACGTGGTTTGGAGTCCCCTCTAGGCGACTGGGGCCAGGGAAGTTCCCGGGTTCGAGAATGGTTGGCTTAGGTTCGAGGATCTGACCATAAATTGTAGTTAGCTCTTGCACTCTGGCAGCCAGCAAGGTACCTTTAAAAGCCAACCTCTACCTGCCCAAGACTTTAGGAACAAACAAGTCAAGCTGGGGATTCAGGAGTGAAGGCGTTAATCTTGGTTCTCACTAGTCACTCCCACTGAAGAAGTCAGCCAGGTAGGTATCGCGAGAATAAGAAAGAAAAGTAAGGCTTTTAGTTAACCCCTCCTCCAGCCCCATCTGTTCCCAAGCAACAAGGCCACACGCTCCACTTGGTGGGCTGTTTTGGAGGCTAACAGCCTCAGGTACTCGCAGGTCCTCCCAGAGGCAAGTCAGCCTCCCCGGGGGCACGCCCCCTGCCCTGCAGGGCCTCCATTGGTCCAGCGAGCCTCCAGGTAGGGGCTGACGAGCGGGTGGGCGGAGCCAATCGGACCACGTGACTGGCCCCAGCTAGGGGCCGGGACTTCTCAGTCAGTCTGGCGGCTCCGGTTCGCGGCGCTCCTGTGGCGACACCGGGTCCACAGCAGGGAGGACGAATAGGACAGGTCATAGGGTGAGCCATAGTTGAGCCGACTTGCAGCGTCTGGACGCGGGAATGGGGTGCTGCGCGGGCGCGATCTAGGTGCAGAGCGATGGTGCTTCGCCCTTTCAGGAAGTGTAGGTCCGGTGGCTCTCCTGGGCGTGCACCTTCAGGGACGCTGAGCCACCGCTGGTGTGTGAGGACCGAAGAATTTGTTCTGTCAGGCAAGGAACAGTGCGTTTTTTTTTTTTTTTTTTCTCTTCTGTTAATAGGACTTTTTGCCTTTAGCTCCTTGGTGTCTGGGTTTGAGATGTGAGCCCGGTCCCTCCCACCTTAGTTGATATCAGGACCCAAGGTTTTTTTTGCTGGTAGCGTTGAGTAAGTCCTTTATGTCCGCCGAGCCCCGGAGGATGGATAGGAGAGGGAGGAGGACTTGAGAACGGAGAACAGCGGAGAACCTAACATGCTACGGATATCTCAGTCCCGTTAGAGTTCTTCCTTCAGAAAATATGTTTATGCCCCCTCTCTCTACCATTCCCATTGTCGTTTTTTTTTTCTCTTCTCTCTCTCCAAGACTGAATTCTACCTTTGGATTGAGATTGCTTTCTTGATAGTGTACTTGATCTCTTCCCACCTCCAGCTCTCTCCGATTGCCACCTCTGGTCTGTCCATATTCTTAAAACCAGAATGTGAGGTCAAGCCACTTTGGTTCGTTATCTTTATTTGTTAATTCTGTGAAATAAGATGAACTAGTCACGATAGGAAAGTTTACTTTATTAAGACTATTGGAAGGCTTGCTGGATTTGAGATACATGAATGTGAGCCAGGTCAACAAATAAATGCATAGTTGGAGTGCAGCTCCATAGGTGAGGTTTCGGGTTTGTGACTTCTCCAAGAACAAGTGTCCGTGAGTGAAGAGGAAGGGGCTCGACCTGAATCTTGGTAGGGTTCAAATTCTCTGTATTGACTTTAGGGACACCCTTCTTCCCTCCCATGTATTTTACACTCTCTTTTTCCAGGTGCTTCCTGAAGAACTACCATGTCTGGAAACAGTGAATTTTCCTCAGATCACAGAAGCAGCAGCAGCAGTACCAGCTCTAAATCCCACACCACAAACCTTCGAAAGGCAGGGAAGAAATGCTGTGAGTTCTGGTAAAGTGTGAGTGCTGCTCCCTCTTAGGATTTTTGTCCTGAAAATCTATTTGTATCCTAGACTCTTGCTCTGTGGGAGTGAGTAGTAATTCTTTGGCATGGTAATTTGTTTTATTTATTTTGTGCCTGGGTCCTACTACACAGTCCCCAGCTTGCTGGGTACTTGCTGTGTAACCCAGGCTGTTGTCTGACTCACAATTCTCCTATTTTAACCTCTTTAGTACAGATATGTGTCTGATATGACATAGGATTTAAAAGAAAGTCGACAGTGGGCAATTTCCTGTCTTAAACAAGTAGGCTTAGTGAAATGTGTCTTTGGGGCTTTACTGTTAGGTGGCCCAGAGTTTCTTGCTGCTTTCCTTAGGGATATATGGGAGCATTTGTCTGAAGTTGGAAGCTAAAGCAAGTTATGTGTAGGGTGCCAGAGTATCAAGGTGCAGGATTAACATGGGGCTGTCACTCTTTCTTTATCTCTTGGACTGTGCACTAGAAAGGTGACACTTACTGCATACAGAAGCCATACATGAAGACAAAAGCCACACATGGTGGCCCTCACCCATAATCCAAGGCCCGGTGAGCTAGAGAGAGGCAGGAGGATTAGGAGTTCAGGGTTGTGCTTAGCTGTACATACTTAGTTCAGAGTAAGCCTGGGCTGCTTGAGACCTTGATCAAAAACCAAAGAAACAGAAGTTGCAGGTGGGAGCCAGTGTTTGTCCTGTTCCTCCAGGCCCTGAGGGGGATGTGTCCTGACATATGACTCAGTGTGTTGGGTGACTTAAGTTCTTACAGGGTTAGCCTCACATTTTGCAACTTCATTCATACAAGCACTTTAATGTACAGAGATGACAGAAATGGTGGCAGGGAAAGAAGCATCATTTCTTGCCCTCCTAACTCTACTTTCCTAAGTAAAGCTGTAGAGTTACCTAAAATTCTGTGGCATTGGTCCTCAGATGTTTCTGGAAACTCCAGAGTGTTTTAGCACTCTTCTTCTTAAAATTCTTCCTTGTAGAATACACCTCTTTTGGAATCTTTCCAGTTATTCTCACTTTAGTGCTTATGTCTATTATTAGGTGGAAGGAGGTGGTTAGCAAGAGACCAAGCATGTCCGTGTTCAGAGTTTACCCCAGAGGCTCCATCATGCTCTTTTTACTTTCGTGATCTTTTAATCTGGCACCCATGAGGCATGTGCTGGATAGATGCATTATAGCACGAGGTTGGCACACCCTTATAACACGAGGTTGGCACACCTCTTTGGTTAGGCTTTCCTTTCCTTGCCAGGCCAGGGAGCTGGTACTGAGAGTAAACTGCAGCCTGATGCTTAATCATAGTCCCTTCAGTCGGACCACCTAGGTTTGGACAGTCGTTTTGCTGTTTCCTAGCTATGCACCCTTGAACAATTTGCTTGATCTCTGTCTTCACAGTTTACTCCTTAAAAAAAGGAAGTCTCCCCTCTCTCTGTAAGATTTTAGCCCCTTCTCTCCTTCCCTTCTTCTTTCCTTTGACAGTGTCTGACTGTAGCCCAGATCAGTGTTACACTTGTGATTTTCTTGCCTTAGATCCAGAAGGCTTGGATTACAGTAGTACACCGCCACTCTTAACTCCGTTGTAAAGTGGAGATACTCTAGACTTTATAATGGCGTAAATTGTTCTCCCAGGAATGATGGGAGAAGTAAATGAGTACACGCAGACAAGTGCTGAATGTTGGACATAGCTTCTGTGTGTAATTTTTCATAAGTGATTACTTTTTGGATTCCTTCGGAAATATTACATGTAAGTCGAGTTACAGCAGATGCTGCCAGTACCTCCTAATTTAAGAGCCCTGTAAAGAATTATTTTTTCAGTGAAGAATGTGTGCTATTGTTTGACAGAATTATAACCCAGATATTCTGATCCAGTGTGCTCCTCTTAAAGAAAATGTACTCATTTTACTAGGGTATATGGTCCAAAAGACAGCAGAGGGGGATGGAAGTGGACTTCAGAAAGAGCTGGTTGACATCATCAGCCCTCTTAGTTCTTTCTTGCTCTCAACTAGCCATTCCTGCCTCCCTTCCTAAGCTTTTTACAGCTGTTCTATCCCAGGGCTTTTGATTACAACTATATCCCAGATCTCTTTATCAACCCTGCTTCAGGCTCTAGTTTTTAATTGTCTAATCTCTACTCCTTTAAAACTACTTTTTTCTGCCCAACTGACAGACACTGAGTTGTCATTTGTGTACCCAGCTTTTCTTACGTCATGGCTGAACCATGAGATTGTGAGATCATTAGAAGAAGACTAGTTGGGTTTTTTTGTTTGTTTGTTTGTTTTTTTTTTTTTTTTGCTTGTTTTGTTTTCCTTTGCTGTGTGTAGAGCCTTGGCATTTTAATTCTTGTAGATGTCTAGTTCTGGTCCATCCTATCTGTTCTGCTGCCGTGTCCTTTTTTAAGAACCTCAGTATAGGGCAGGTATCTTTTCTAAGTTGACAAACCCAGGACTCAGCTCTTTTGCATTGTGTGGAGAAGGTACCTTGTTATAGACTTCCTGGATGCCTCGTGTTGCTTTATTTATAGCTCAACTGCTGTCTCCTTGCTGCTCATTATACCTGCTTGCTAAGTCTGCATCTGGGAAGTGACTGGGCTTACTTCAGGCAAAAAGATGACTATAGGAGACAAAAACCTTCAGAGGAGCCTTACTGGGACTTGAGTTGTTCCAGGGATGGGATTATAGAAGTACTGGCTGAAATACTTGTAAGGTACCCAGGTCAGTGGTTTCAGGAGTCCCTGAGAGCAGGAAATGAGGGTTCTGTATGCTTTCCTTATTAAGTCCTTTTTATCATCTTTTAAAAAATATTTTGAGTAGATTTGGAGAAGACAAATGTATTATCCATAAATACAAAAGGAGTTCATGATTAGAAAAACTCAAATAATGCAAAAAGAAAACATGGAAAGTAAAATCTCTTCCAGTCTCTCCTATCTCTGATAGATTCACTTCTCTTAGGGGTTTAATTTTGGTGTAACCCATTAACAGATGTAGGTAAGCACATGATATACATACTCTGTTCTGTTACCATTTGCTTTTTAAGAATTTACTCTATTTGTATTCCTTATTTTATTTATGTTGGTAAATTCAGATTTGCCTTTCCACATACTGAATCTCAACCAATAATTGTTTGAAACTTCACTCTCATAAAGTATACTTCAGCAAACATATTTATACTTCTGCATGCTCACAGCAACAGCTTTTTTTAAAAAATAGAAGTAAAAGGAGCATGTTAAATCCAGTGGAAGTCTTCATCCATGTTTTAAATGTGTTCTTTGAATGTTCAGTGCCTTATTTGATGGAAGTTGGGTATTACTGATTATAGCTGCACTGCTTAATAAAACCACAAGTTTTCTAGTGTGTGGGTACAGTTTTGTGAGATTAATTATTTCATGCTTATCAGTCAAAGAGCAGAAGACAATCAGGCTTTGCAACTTTTAATGAATAAAATTTAGATAGCAGTAATGATACATGCTTTATGGTTGTATAATTCAAAACACTGGGCCTATTTAATGTGGATAATGGAAAAAGTCCTTGGCCATGAGGAGACCAGGAACTGTCAGTCTCCTAGACACCCTCCCAGATAAGCATGAAGAACACAGTCATGTGTTCCAGGGGACCTTCTGTCGGTGCTAATGTGATGGCTAAGAACCAGCAGATAAAGCTGAATAGGCAGTCATGAGATCAGTGGTGTGGTCAAGAAGCCTGACCTTGACTTTCTTTTGTGGTCCTGTGGGCCAAGCTCTTACCTTCTCTGGGTTTTAGTTTTTCCATTTATGTGAAAGAAACTGTCAAGCTCTCATTTTGTCTAAGCATGCTTATAAAGAAAAAATGAGTTGAAGCTGGATAAAGCAAGTTTAACTTTGCTTAAGAAGAAGACAAAAAAAATTCAGGGTTGAAACAGTTTTCCATTGTTAAAGAGATGCTGTCACAGTGTCACTAGGTCAATTAGCGTGAAGTGTCTTCCATTCAAACTTAGTGATGCGTTTGCTTTTTTTTAACAGTTAGGAAACCATCTTCCTAGTTTTACCAGCATGGCAGTTTAGGTGAAGAATTATTATTTAGATTACTTTTTTTTTTTTCCAGAAAATGAGAAGCCCTGGTTAGCCCTGGTGAACACAGAGCAGTCAGTCCCTTGTTTTTCACAATCAGCTCCTAAGCATGCTTCCTTTCTAAACTTCTGGGAGGGAAGCAGCGCCTTTGGGGGAAGTGCCTAATGAGCTGGAAGATGTGGACAGAGAGCTTATAAGTGCAGCTAATGAGCTGAGTCATCACACATCCAGACGAGTATGCATTAAGCTGGAGAACATAAACACTAAGGGCTTTTACTGGTCCAGCCTGGTGGCAGGCAGGACTATTTGCCTCCTAAGGGTCAGTGCTCAGGGACAAATGCCACAGAGGCTGTGCGGTGCTGTTTACTTATCTCTGAGCTCCTTGTTTGGATCGAGGTGACAACTGCTTATGTTACTCCATTACCTGTCTTGGGGGAGCTCCTGTCCAGAGTCAGCAATTTCCTCCATGCAGCAATTTCCCCCATGCAACAGGGGCTGAACTCTTGGTAGGCAGTCTCTTAGTTCTTTCTGAAGGAAAGGATTCAGTCAAGAGACATTTAATAGACTGCTCAAGCAGAAGTTTATTTAGCAAAGTGAAACCAAACCCTAAAGAGGTTGAAGTGTGCTTCTTCAAAGCAGGGAGCCCAGTAGGTTCTGAAATATGGACATTTTTATGATTTTCTATTAGGTGGTTTCTTTTCTCCTTCCAAACTGTGCTGGGCCACATCTCCCTTTTAGGATATTTCTTCCCATGATCCCTGCAAAAGGGAGGTATCACAACAGCCATGTACATGACATTATAATGATTTCAGGTCTTTTGAAGATGTAGACCCTTAGTGGTGTGCATGAGTGGATAGTGTCTTGGTGCCTTAATTTCTGACATAGTGAGAATGACCTCACTGCAGCTGCAGAGATGCTTAGCTTCACAGTGGCATTTTCACCATCAGGTGATACATGTTTCAAGGGCTCCTTTTGGAAAAGAGTGCTGGGAAGCAGAAGGTCAAGGTTCCCTTTCTCCCCAACACACATACACACTTTTCTTGTCTCTAGATAGCCTTTCTCCATAGAGAGAGCCTATACCTGAACTCTTCCTGATAGCCTCCATTTAGGTCTTGTCTTCAAGAAAGAGGTTAATCAGGCACAAATGCAGGTCTTTTCTCTACCTCTGCTCTGTGGCAGCATGAGCAGGGAGAAACCAGTTCTGTGAGCAAAGTGAAGAGGCCTCTTGTTGGGGAGAAAAACTGTCTGGGAAGCACAGGTCTGGATTCTAATGCAAGGTCTACACTTGACTAATTTGTGCATTGTACAAGTCACTAGCCCTCCAAGCCCAGCAACCCAGTGAAACTTAGACTTGTAGATGAACACCCCTGAAGGGAGGCAATTATGACAGGTTAGCACCAACAACTGCCTTGCTTGCCAGGCATCTTGCTTTTTCTATGAGCCGTTGGGGAAGGCAGGCCTCCAGGCCCCTGTGCTTGACCCTGACCCTTGACGGAGTCTATTCAAACCCTTTTCTGCCGCCTTTGGTTGCCAAATATCACTGTCCTTTAGGAATTAAAGTGAAGGAGGAGTTCATGACCTGAGTGTTGTTGCCAAAATAGCTTGAGGCATGATTCTTTTTCAGAGACCATCAAAGTCTTGTCTGAGACTCTGGACAGATGGGTGAGATCAAGGAAGAAACCTGGATTTATTTTAAAGTCAGCCAGTTTGGGGTTGAATAGAATCACAGCTACAGTATTATTAGGCATTCTCGCTCTTCTGAATCTTGACTACTATTTCTTTCCATCCTGGGAACCTCTTTGAAGACTTGGGAAAGAAATGCCTTTCTTTGGGCACTTTATGAAAGTCTGCATGACCCTTTAACTGTGTTTCAAGAGATATACCAAATACAGCCTCAGTTTGCCTTGTCAACCTTCCTGGCCCTCTACCCTATGAGTATTATATGAATTGAGGACTATGAAGTTCCTCATCTACTACATAAACCTCATGAGACGTGTACTTATTTAGTCCTGCCTGTTTCTTTTTTTTTTTTTTTTTTTTTTAGCATGGGCTTCCTACATGACCAACTCTCCAACTCTCATTGTTATGATTGGTTTGCCAGCCCGGGGTAAAACTTACGTGTCCAAGAAACTAACACGTTACCTCAACTGGATTGGCGTACCCACCAAAGGTAGGTTTAGGTCATACCTTGGGAATGTAGTTGATTAGTTCTGAGGCCCCACAGGTCTCTGAGAGACTTAGCCTTCCTATCGTCAAGGTCATATAATGCTTCTGACAAAAATAAAGATTTCTTCCTCATTTACTGGATCTGTTCCATGTCCTTAGACTCATCTCCTCCAAGCCCTGGCAGATCATCCTACTTTTAATAGAATGCCTTTGATAGAAGCATTCAGAATTAAATGAGAATATGGTATTTCAAAACCCTTGGCACATGTGTCATATTATTGAACCTTAATGGAACTTTGGTAAATCAGTAGCTGAGGAGGAGAAACTCAGCTTCAAACTTGCCCAAGTTCTTCTTGTGAGTTGGGACTTTCACCCAACTTTTCTTAATTTGGTATTGTTTTCAACATGCATGGTGCTTTTTCCATCCCATTGGCCACTCTCATAGGCCAAGAAGTCTCCTTTAGTGGGGCCATCATGTTGTTTTTGCTGCAGTGTTTAATCTTGGGGTATATCGGCGTGAAGCAGTCAAGTCCTATAAGTCTTATGACTTCTTCAGACATGACAATGAAGAGGCTATGAAGATCCGCAAGTGAGTCTTTTTTAAAAAAGGCCTAACCTAAGTCAATTGTTTTTGGGCAGTTGTGAGACTGAATGTGTTAGGGTCCCATGTTTCTCAGGAAGTATCTGGGGTGGGGGGGAGATTTTAATGGAAGTTATTAGAATTAAACATTAGCTTAGGTTGGATGGGTAGCAGACAGCACTTTAGGTGATACTTTTATGTGATGCCTAAAGAAGAATAAGGCCTATGAATTGGATAGGGAGGAAATTGTGATGGTGTGTGAACTTCCATGGGAAAAGTTGAAAGATTTAGTTAAAGGAAACATTATAACAAGAAAGAAACTGACTGGGAAATGACTCCTACAACTGTGTCTCTGTGTCTCTGGTTTGACTTTAGCTCTTTTCACTGATTTCCTCTGTTCTCACTGCAGACAGTGTGCTCTGGTAGCACTGGAAGATGTTAAGTCCTATTTTACTGAAGAGAGTGGACAGATTGCAGTAAGCTTCCCCTTCTTCATATCCACTCTTCCAGCATCCTGGCTACCCAGCCCCATCTGGAGTGGGCCTTGGATGGTGTGTCATTTATCTCGGATTCATTCTTTTCGTATGCTTCTGCCTAGGTGTTTGATGCCACCAATACTACTCGGGAGAGGAGGGACATGATTTTGAACTTTGCCAAGCAGAATGCCTTCAAGGTGGGCTCTGACTCTATGCTAGAAGAAAAGGGATGAGTGGAGGTGGGGAGCTAGGCTGGAGAGATGGGGAATGTAGAATCTTTGACTCTGGTGAGCATAAGAGTTAGAATCTGATTTTGTCCTCTCAGGGCATATGCCTACTCCTTGAGTGGCTTTTTGTTTTGTTTTGTTTTGTTTTAGAGCCTTTCTCTGCCCTTTATTTAGTTTGTACGTTTGAGGACTAGGCGATGTGGTAAGATCTGTTTTTAAATGAGCCCTGGAGGGACACTTTATGAAAAAAATCCTGAAGATGTGGTAGCTAGGTGGAGTAGGTGAGCATGTGCTTTCAGTTAACAGCCTGGCATTTTTGCTGTGTTTGTCATGCCTTCTCTCCATGGCTAGGTGTTCTTTGTGGAATCTGTCTGCGATGATCCTGATGTCATTGCTGCCAATATTCTGGTGAGTGTCATACCTGTCACCTTTAGTCAGTCAGCCTCAGTCTGTCTTTTTCTCAGTGTGTGTGTGTGTGTGTGTGTGTGTGTGTGTTTACGCTGAGTAGTCAAAGAAGGAAGTAGACATGCTTAGCATCATAAAGATCTTCTTTATCTGGGAGAATTTTGTACCTTTATACTCTTTTTTTGGGAAAAGAGCCTGGGCCTTTGAGGAATACAATAAAAATGAGTTGCTGAATTCAGAACAGCTTAGATTGTGGAAGTCCTGTATTTGTGTTCTGATATTACCTGACACTGGGACTTAAATATTGTACCAGAATAGACTTCTTTTTGCTATTCATCCCACCCCATAGGAATGCCATTTATTCAGTAGTTGTTTAATGTTCTGATCAGCACTGAGAATTGTTCTGATCAGTATTGAGTATTCTATGTCCTATGGGCACAGCACCAGACACTACTCACAGGATAGGTTGTATCTTGTTGTGTGCCAAGTCGTCATCTTTGCATGCTCTCTTAGAAGTGCCATCACATCATAGGAACTGTAGGTATCTTATTTGAGGAAGAGGCAGTGATTCCTAAGTCAAATATGGCATCACTTACACTATTCTGAGTAGAAATAGGAGGGAAATTAGAGCCCAGTCTGTGTTCACAGGCAAATATATAAAGGGCTCAGGGCTCAGAGGCAGCACTTGCTGCATAACTCCCTCTGTCCTTTGGCCAAAAGCAGGCACATGACTCCCAGTTGTCTTCCCTTTCTTGGTTGCCAGGGTCACAGGACAGGATGAGAGTGTTCAGTGAATGGGGAGCGGCAGTGCTCCGCTGAAAAGCTGTCTTAATGGACTTTTTTTCTGTTGTTTTTTTTTAAGTGGCTATTTGTAGGAGAGATGTTAAGATCAGCACTCTGACCAGGCCCTTATGTTCCTCTGATTTTAGGAGGTAAAAGTGTCAAGTCCTGACTACCCTGAAAGAAATAGGGAGAATGTGATGGAGGACTTCCTGAAGAGAATTGAGTGCTACAAAGTCACTTACCAGCCCCTTGACCCAGACAACTATGATAAGTAAGGCCTAACACTATGATCTGAGGGTTGAGGCAGGAGAAAAAGTATCTTTCTGTTGGTTTCTAAATTCTTTCTGGTAATCTAAATATGTGATATTTATGTCATTTCCCAGAACCAGGTTGTTATTGTGATACTGTTCTATTTACGGTTACTATTACTGTGAGGAAGTACCATGACCAAAAGCAAGTTGGAGAGGAAAGGGTTTATTTGTTTTTCACTTCCATTTTTCTGCTCATAATTGAAAGAAATCATGACAGGAACTTAAACAGGGTAGGAACTTGGAGGTAGGAGTTATTACTGAGGGATGCTGTTACTGGCGTGTTTCTCATGGCTTGCTCAGGCTGCTTTCTTAGAGAAGCAGGGACCACCAGCCCAGGGATGGTACCACCACAATGGGCTGGGCCCTTCTTCATAAATCATTAATTAAGAAAATGTACTACAGGCTTGCTTAAAGCTTAATTTTATGGAGGCATTTTCTCAATTGAGGTTCCTCCTCTCAGATGACTTTGACTCGTGTTAAGTTGACATAACACTAGCCAGCACAGATATTTATGTTGCTTGTATGATTTACTTAACCATATTTTCTTATCATCAGTTTTTCTTTTTTATTCTCCAGAGAAATGGTTCTCAATCTGTGGGTCACAAATCCTCTGGGAGTTGAATGACTCTTTCATAGGGATCACATATCAGATATCCTGCATATTAGATATATACATTATGATTCATATCATTAGCAAAATCAGTTATGAAGTGGCAATAAAAATAATTTTATGGCTGGGAGTCACCACAACATAAGGAACTGTATTAAGGGGTCACAGCATTTGGAAGGTTGAGGACCACTGCTCTGGAGCAAGGCTTTCCATCTAAGCATTATTGACATTTTGAAGTACGGAATTCTTTGTTGTAAGGACTACTCTTTGTATTCTAATATGTTTAGCAGATCTCCCTGGCCTCTGTCCACTAGGTGCCAGGAATACCTCCAAGCTTTGATAACTGAAATGTTTTCAGACATTACCAAATGTCTCTTAGGGACCCAAATCATATCTGCTTAAGAAGTACTGCTCAAGATTTAGCAGATTGGAACTAGAATGCTATAGGATATCTCTTGGAGATGTGTCATTAGCTTTAATCAATATATATGTAATACCATATATATCTATTTCAGTGTGTATGCTCATTACATATATATCATATAAACTGAGGGACACTGCCTGACTCAGAGAAAAATGTGTGATCAATGTTAGCCATAATGACTGTGGTGATGTCTCCTGGCAGTGCAGCATAGAACACAGATTGATTTGCCTAGTGTGGGGCATAGTAAGATAATATGTCCATATCGAAGAAAGAAAGTATATGCATGGAAATTCGTAGGCACATTGCCTTATGGAATAGTGTATTTTGTTTTGAGTTTTTGAGACAGTTTCAAGGAACCCATACTGGCCTTTCACTCATTGTATAATGGAGGATGACCTTGAACTGATCCTTCTCCTTCCATCTCCATAGTGCTGGGATTACTGCATGCACCATTAAATCTTGATGAAACAATATTATGGTCACCACTTTTCTTCTTCCTTGTAACAGAATACTTGATCTAAGGTACTCAGGGAGGAGAATATTGTTTTGGCTTAGTGTTCAGCTGGTACTGCAACCATGGTGGGGAAAATATGGGCAGGACTGGCTTCTTCCCAGAGTGGTGGGAAGCTGCTTGCTCACATCTCAGAGGCTCAAGAAGGAGAAAAGTTGTACTCACCTGGCTTTCTCTTCTCTCTTCTCCTATTTCTTGAGTCAGGACCTCACTGTGTATCCCAGGATAGCCTTGAACTCAGGGCAGTCCTGCCTCAGCCTCTTAAGTGCTGATGTTACAGGTATAAGATGCCATTCCTGGCTCCATTTTTTCATTTTAGTCAGTCCAGGAACTTAAAGGCCCACAGTCAGGGTGAGGGTCCCTCCCTCATTTAGTCTTCTGTGGAAACACTCTCAAAGACATACCCAGAGGGGTACCTCACTGTTGCTGTAGGTATTTCTTAATCCATTCATGCTGATAATCAAAGCCAGTCATGACATCTGTGCATTTAGCTGTTATAGTCATAAAGATAAGGCATTATAGACCAGCAAGTGGAAACATCATAAATACTATGCATAGTACAGTGTTTAATGACTCCAGTTATCTCATTAATGTTCTGTACTTTTTATTTTATTCAAATGTGTTTCCAGAACACAAGTATTTTGAAGCCATTTCCATAATAAATGGCTGAAAGGATATACTGAAAGGACACACTAAATCGGTTAGAAGAAAAAGTAGGGAAGAGCCTAGAACTTATTGGCACAGGAGACAATTTCCTGAACAGAACACCAACAGTACAGGCTCTCAGAGCAACGATCAATAAATGGGAATTCATAAAACTGAAAGGTTTCTGTAAAGCAAAAGACACTGTTGTCAGAACAAAATGACAGTCTACATACGGAGGATCTTCACCAACCCTGTAGCTGACAAAGGGCTAATATCCAGAATATATAAAGAACTTAAGAAGTTAAATAGCAACAAATCAAGTAATCCAATTAAAAAAAATGGGGTACAAAACTAAACAGAATTCTCTGTATAGGAATATAGAATGGCAGAGAAACACTTAAAGAAATGCTCATTATCCTTAGCCATCAGGGAGATGCAAATCAAGAAGAACCTGAGGTTTTACCTTATACCCATCAGAATGGCTAAGATCAAAAACTCAAGTGACAATACATGCTGGATAGGAGAGGTTGTAGAGAAAAAGGAACCCTCCTCCATTGCTGGTGGGAATGTAAACTTGTACAACTACTTTGGAAATCAATCTGACACTTTCTCAGACACTTAGGAATATTGCTTCCTCGAGATCCAGCTATACCACTCCTAAGCATATATCCAAAATCTGTTCAGGTACACAACAAGGACGTTTGTTCAACCATGTTTATAAGTAGCTTTATTCATAATAGCCAGAACCTGGGAAAAACCCAGATGTCCCTCAATGGAAGAATGGATACTGAAATTGTGGTACATTTATACAATGGAATACTACTCAGTAATTTTAAAAAAAAAAGGAAATCATGAAATTTACTGGCAAATGGTGGGAACTAGAAAAAATCATCCTGAGTGAGGTATCCCAGAAGCAGAAAGGCACACCTGGTATATACTCACTTTTAAGTAGATACTAGAACTATAAGATAGGATAAACATACTAAAATCTGTCCACTTAAACAAGCTAAGCAAGAAGGAGGACCTTGGGTAAGATGATCAACCCCCACTTAGAAAGACAAATGGGATGGACATTGGAAGAAGGAGAAAACAGGAAACAGGACAGGAGCCTATCACAGAGGGCCTCTGAAAGACTCTCCCCAGCAGTGTATCAAACCAGGTGCTGAGACTCATAACCTCACCTTGGGCAGAATGCAGGCGATCATATGAAAGAAGGGGGAGTTAGCAAGACCTGGAAGAGACAGGAGCTCCACAAGGAGAGCAACAAAACCAAAATATCTGGGCCCGGGGGTCTTTTCTGAGACTGATACTCCAACCAAGGTCTATTCATGGAGATAACCTAGAACCCCTGCTCAGATGTAGCCCATGACAGCTCAGTATCCAAGTGGGTTCCTACTAAGGGGAACAGGCACTGTCTCTGACCTGAACTCAGTGGCTGGCTCTTTGACTACCCCAGGCCACAGAGGAGGACAATGCAGCCAGTCCTGATGAGATCTGATAAGCTAGGATCAGAGGGAAGGGGAGGAGGACCTCCCCTATCAGTGGACTTAGAGAGGGGCATGGGAGGAGATGAGGGAGGGACGGTGGGATTGGGAGGGAATGAAGGAGGGGGCTACAGCTGGGATACAAAGCAAATAAAATGTAATTAATGTAAAAAAATTTTTAATTAAAAAATAAATGGCTGAAAGGTACTGCCTAGGTATGGCATAAGGAGATATCTTTAGTTTATTCTAAGATATAGAAAAGCATTCTATAGGGATATTTACGTTTATAAGAGCATATGTTTATAGATTTCATCTCTGGTGGTAGGTTGATGGCTGAATCTCTGTTTTACACTTTTTTTTCTTGATCGTTATTTTGAATAAGCTCTATTGCTTTAAATTTAACACAAACTATGGCAACAGAGCACATAGTTTACAGCAGTGTCTTTGGGGCAGGCTGGTTAGATGGCTGAGGGTTTAGCAGGCATCCTTTCAGCTTTTCATTAGTTTCTTCCTCTCCTCCTCCTGAGTTGCCATGATCTGTCCAGGTTTTGACTACATTATAAGGGGCCTGTATGTGTCATCAAAATTTGAATTTAGCAAAATCTTCAGGTCACTTAGGACAGTCCCTGGGAAGCCTGAATTCTGTTTTCCACACTTACATATGCTGCATGGCTCAGGCTGGACCTGAAGAGATGTACTTGCTGGAAGTTCAAGAAAGTGTGGGCCATCTTGGTTTGGAGATGTAACCTATCTTTTAGCATTTAATTCCATAAATGTGGCAGTGATAGAGGAGAGAAAGAAGAGCCTATGGTGCCTGCAAGTCAGTATACATATCATTTTTCCTATACTTGTTTTTCATTTGTCTTGAGACCGGGTCAAACTCAACCCCCCCCCCCCCCCAGTTTAGCCTTCTAATTGCAGGTGTTGATAACCCTGCTCCCCTCCTCACTCCTAGTTTTAGATTTTCTTACTGTGAATTTTTTTCTACCCTATCCCAGGGATCTTTCTTTCATCAAGGTGATAAATGTAGGCCAGAGATTTCTGGTCAACAGAGTACAGGACTACATCCAGAGTAAGATTGTCTACTACCTTATGAATATCCATGTCCAGCCTCGCACCATCTACCTTTGCCGGCATGGAGAGAGCGAATTCAATCTTTTGGGAAAGATTGGGGGTGACTCTGGCCTTTCATTTCGAGGAAAGCAGGTGAGTAGTTAGTCAATAAGCCGGATTTCTTAAGCTTAATTGTTAGAAGGGTGTGGTGGAGGTCATCTGTTTTATCCCTTCGGCTTAAATCCCATTTGGGCTTAGGCTGTGGTTTCACATAGCCAGGCAAGTGCTAAAGATGTTCTCTGCTTACTGTTCCTAGCTCTGGATTAAAGTATGGGTCACTTGAGACCCTTTCTGCTGTGGTCATTCAGACATCAGAAAATTATTGGGCACCATTTGTGATGTGAGCACAGAGTGCTCTAATTGAATTTCATTTCCTCTTGGGTTTATAGTTTGACAGTGGCTAGTAGTCTCTGTGTGTCTTGTATGTGTGGTATGGCATGTTTTCTTTGTCTAGCTTTTATTTCCAAACCCCAGTTTGCTCAGGCTCTGAAGAAGTTTCTGGAGGAACAGGAGATCCAGGACCTCAAAGTGTGGACAAGCCAGTTGAAGAGAACAATTCAAACAGCTGAGTCCCTTGGGGTCACCTATGAGCAGTGGAAGATCCTAAATGAGATCGATGCTGTGAGTAGGCTTTTCTGATTGAGTTATAATCTAGGTAACTTAGAAAACCATCATCATTAACTAGAAACCGAGCAGTCTGAACCCTGCCGTTTCAGAGCTTAGTTGAGAAAGGGGATAACTACCCTTCATCAGGGCTTCCTGGCTGCTCTAGTACCTGATCCCAGTGTGAGACCCCAGCCACTCTGGCCTCTTCAGAGTGGAGCTAACAGGACTCATTTTCTTTTTCTACTAAGAAAAAGAAACGTCTAATACTCAGTTCTGTAATACTTGCTTTGGTCACTTGGCCAGCAGTTCTGGGAAAGTCCTCCAAAATTCTGTTGGCATTCTTTATTGCTTAGACCAGACAATAACAAATAGAAATTGCATTTCTATTTGTTATTGCTACCAGGGCTCACTGTAGCCCAGGTTGGCCTGGAATTCATGATCTTCCTGCCTCAGTGTCCCAGATGTTGAGATGACAGGCGTGAGTCACCATGCTCAGCTTAGAGTTTCTCTTTCCACCTCTTTACCCTTTTACTTTACCACAAGGCTTCTCTTCCCCTCAGTTTTCCATCCTCCTCTGATTCCTGCTCCCATTACCCTGCAGAGTGCTCCTGACCCTTGACTTCCCTTGCACTAGTAGGACACCTCAAGCTAGACAAACCACCTCTCTCCACAGTACCTCCTGTACATGGCAGCTGGTAACACCCTGACACCTGGCACAGATGGGTGCAGTACACGGAAGGGCTCAATGCATAGTGAGGCTCTGGGGTTCTACAATGTCATCTTTCTCTTCTGGGATGGGGAGAGTGTAGGCTAGCCTACATCCTGAAGCTGTACGGCTCTTTGCAGGGTGTGTGTGAGGAGATGACATATTTGGAGATTGAGAAACAGTACCCAGAGGAATTTGCACTCCGAGATCAAGAGAAGTATCTGTATCGATATCCTGGTGGGGAGGTAAGGCTTCATTCACTTAGAGTAACTGCCTAGTGCTTTGCTGGCCACTGACCATAAGGTGAGGAGAAAGGGTGACTTAGGAATAATTTGTTATCCTTCTTCTGGTCATGCTGTTAAATTCAGCTTAGACAACCAGTATATTTTATTAATTGGTTAAGGTCTCTAGGGAACAGGGTGACAAAGTGTCTTCTGTGTTGAGAAGGTTCTAGGATGAACCTCCTTACCTTTTCATTTGATTCCCTTTTCTTCACTCCTACAAGCTGATAGAATCACCAAGTAAGTATGGGACGTGAATTACTTTATTACCATGTTTTAGGCACTATCCTATTGACATGGCTTCCTAGGGAAATGCATGTGGCGGAGGTAAATAAGTATAATGGCAGAGGTTCAGGAAACCTGCAGAACTCTTTTATTCTTCTATGTACTGCCTATTAATGACTGTTGTGAAGAGATTGAATTCACACTTGCATTTCTTGAACTGTGGTTTTTGGTCTAAATATTGCTTTTGAAAGATCTTGGTATTCTTAAGAAAGCAGGGCAGGAGCAGTTAGGCAGTGTAGAGGCATCTTGCTTCCATGAGCAGTCTCCTGACTCTGGAACTCACCCACCATCTTGGCTGCCAGCATGCTTTGGCCTCTTACCAGCTCTCCTTACTTCCCCCTGAAGTCATACCAGGACCTGGTGCAGCGGCTGGAGCCTGTCATCATGGAGCTGGAGCGTCAGGGCAACATCCTTGTCATCTCCCACCAGGCTGTCATGCGCTGCTTACTGGCCTACTTCTTGGATAAAGGCGCAGGTGCTGTTTGAGGGAAGGAAGTGGGGAGGGGTAATCACAGCCAAAGGGACAGGCTGGACTTGGTGGTACCAGCATTCCTGACCACTGGCTCTTCCTTTCTTCCACTCATATTAGAGTACATTCTTCAGGCAGCAGTGTGGAGCTCCCAGCAGCCATTGGTCAATCACTGCAGTCTGTTGCCACAAAAGCTGTCAGTGGAGGATGGCTGATTTGGTACTGTCTGAGCTGCCTAAAGAGCCAGACTTCAGCTGACATTACTGGTAGCATCAAGGCTGTTGGTTAAATAGTCGATTTGTCTGTCTCATTATTGCAGTTGATTTATTAGAGCAATCTTCAGCCTTTGGGTTGGGAGTAGAGCAGTTGTTTTAGGAAAGTAGTAGGAAGTGTGCTACTCTGGCCCTATCTTTCCCTAGTCCTCAGGCCCCTTGAAGCCTTTGATTAGCTGTTGAGTGTGCAGGTAGGCTACAGTATCCTTTCCAGGAAGCCTTGGCTTCAGAACTTTTGGCTTGCATTTTAGATCTAGATTTTCCTTTCCACTCAGTATATGGGTGACTCCTTTGGACTTGACAGTTTTCTGAATTTTGGGGGAGAAGCTATACAACTCTAGGTGATGGTAGGAGAAAAGAAAACTCATGAGCACCTTAAATTCTCTTTTCCTCAAATGACATTTTTCTGCAACACTCAGACTTTCCTCCCGGGGTCTTCTTTCAGATGAGCTGCCATACTTGCGGTGTCCCCTCCACACCATCTTCAAGCTTACTCCTGTGGCCTACGGTAACTATGAGCATGAGCTGGTGAGCAGTGGGGACGGTTGGGATATAGAAGTTGTCACTGGTGTACCATGGATTCTGCATTCATTGCTTCCTCTTGAAGTGGGGATATGCATATGTGTCTCTTTGGGAGTGCACATATACTCAGCTTCTACTTGAGACTGAAGAGTGTTTTTTTGAGCTCCCTCTTGATGCCTTTCTCTATTCCTCCTCTGCTCCCTCTAACCTACCCCTTTTTTGTTGGTTGTTTATGGCTTGTGGTTGGTTTTATTTTGTTTTATTTTTGAGATGGAGGTCTCACACTAGTTGGCTCTAGCCTGGAACTCCAGCTACTGTGGAACTCAGGACAATTCACCTGCCTCAGTCTCTAAGTACTGGGATTTCAGGAATGAGTGAGCCATCATGCCTGGATATGACAGCTTTTCTTTCCTGTTTTTTGTTTTTTGTTTTTGTTTTTTTTAGGTTGCAAAGTGGAAACAATTAAAATGAATGTGGAGGCTGTGGACACACATCGTGACAAGCCAACTGTAAGTATTTTCTGGTCATCCTGAATCTTTGACTCTTTGGCATCAAGAGACTTGGGTTTCTTTTATGTACAAAGAAAAACAAATCCAGAACTCATGGCCTGTATGGTCTTCTTACTTCCAAGAGGCAAAGATGAGGGAATTTTTAGTTCTTTAAATGAGTACCTCTTCCATGAATCTTAGCCTTGAAAATAAGCAACAGAGAATTGAGTCCAATGTAGAAAGGGTTTGGCTGAAGTGAAATGTACAAATTCCCTTGCCACACTCCCAAGGAAGCTACATTTACAAAGTAGGGTCCAAGGAGGCCTTGCTAGCAAATGCAGGTCACCTCCATCGTCGGTTCTTGGCAACCTATGTGGTCTTAAGTAAGCCCCTTGTTGGTTCCCTTACTGCTCTTCAATGTGATGCCCAGGGATCTTTCCCTGTGACGACCCTTTTATTCTTGTGGGGCTAGGAGCCAGAATCTGCCCTGTGTTCAGAGGAGCAGGAGGAAGAGCAGATGTGCTCAGGAGCATGGTTTGACCTCTGTTGGTAAAGTTTTGGTATGGCTTTCATGTATGTGGTGTCCCTCCATTTCCAATCAGCACAACTTCCCCAAGAACCAAACCCCTGTAAGGATGAGAAGGAACAGCTTTACGCCTCTGTCCAGTTCGAACACAATAAGGCGTCCAAGAAATTACAGTGTTGGGAGCCGGCCCCTCAAGCCCCTCAGCCCTCTCCGTGCCCTGGACATGCAAGAAGGGGTGGACCAGCCGAAGACCCAAGTCAGCATTCCGGTGGTGTAACTGTGTGTTTCCCTCCAGCTTTGGCCTCTTGCCCTTGCCACTAATCAACTAAGAAGTCATTTAACTTTACCCCACTCCTGTTCCAACATTAATCTGAACATGGAATATGAGCTCATGCGTGTGCAGAGCAGCCTTAGCCATTTTCCAGTGTAAACACCTCACCCAGGGGCAAGATGGCAAGTTGGGTCTTTTAGGACAGGTCCTCAGATGGGATGGTCTAAGGAAGGGGAGCCAAGCATGAGTCATAGACTTGGTTCTGTTTCCTGATGTCTGAACCCACTAATGTCTCTGTGAATTGTGTGTGTGTGTAGGTGTTGGGGGGAGGGAGTGTTGACTTAGAGGGAGATATAAAAACCCATTTGTCCTTCACCTGTGTCCTCTTAATCTGTCTTTACACTCTTAACTTCCTGTCATAAGCTTCTCTTTGGATTGTCTGATACGATGCATGGCATTGTGATGTCTTAAAGTAAGGACTGTTGATAGGAGTCTAAGCCCCAGGGTGCTGTCTGCAAGTGGGTCTAGAGCTACACTGGGAGTTTCCCCTTCCCTTCTCCCTTCCTCTCCAGCCAGGTCCTGCAGGGGTCAGCCCAGGCTACAGAACATCCACAGAAAGCCCTGGAGTTTGCAAACGGACATAGGGTGAGAGCTCTTGCCTCTTTTCATGAGAAACAGGCCTCAGGTTTTCCTGCGCTGGGGGCTGGCTCGAAGAATGTGGGCATGTTTTGGTTTGTGTTACTAACTTAAGGAGCCAGACGGTCCTTTGCTGGCTGTGGAGTGGGGCTGGGGGTGGGGTGAAGTCTGACTTACAAATTCACAGGTTAGACTTTTTGTCCTGTGGCTCTCAGTTTCTATGCCATTTTATGTAGCCCATGACCTTTTGGGTGGTTTAAAAGCACCAGGACCCACCATTGAGCCCTGAGTTTCTCCAGGCAATAAGTTTAGTAAAGCTGCTCATTGTTTACCAGTACTTTCTAGAATAATTTCTTAAAGCTAAGTTTTACATGAAAAATTTTATTTTTTGATCATGAAAAAAGTTTTGATGGTGAACTTTACCTCTCTTCTTGGGGGCATTTTGTCTGTGTTAGAAACTATCTCAATATTCCCGGGGTTTGGCTTTTAAAAGTTTGTATGTATCTGTTGCTTGATTAAAGGGGATTCTCTGTACTGGCCCAGGGCCTTGTGCTTGCTGAGAGATCTCTCTGATGCTGAGCTCAGTGCCAGTTCACTCATGTATATTTTCCTTAGTGACAAATCAGAAGAGACAGGTGACTCATTACTTCTCAATTTGTCATGGGATGACTGCTGAGTTGCAAGTTAGCAATTTTCTATGAGACTTTTTCTTGTGCTAGAAAGCTTTTTGCAGTGTTCTTATCCAGAAACATTCCTTTGACTGTGCTGTAGAATTTTTGAAATATACAGCCTGGGTTCCTTTGAATCAGGCTAAGTACTGCTTCAAGATTGGAGTCTAGATAATCCCTTAGGGGTCAATCCACTAAGAGTCAGTCCCAGGTTAAGAAGGCCAACTTGAGGGGCTGAAGAGATGTCTCAGCCATCAAGAACACATGCTGCTCTTCTAGAGATTCAGAACTTGTGCCCAGCCTTCCTGTGGAGTGGCTGCTGCTGTAAGCCTGTAACTCCAGCTCCAGGGTATCTGATGCCCTCTTCTGGGCTCTCCAGGTATTTTCACATATGTAGCTCAAATATATATAGACACACAAATATACATAAATTAAACTAAATCTTCTTCTTAAATCCTACTTTATGAAGCTGGATAGAAAAATACCAGTCTATTGGTTTCTTAGACAAAGTATTATCAGATTGGAAATTCTGAATTCTTGGTTCTGAAAAGACAATTCTTTGGAATTGTGCTGGGGCAGAGCACTATTTTGACTGAAGTAATCTTTCAAAGGCAGGCCTTTCTGTTAGAAAGGTATTGTAGGTTCTAGTCCCATCTGTATCCTTCACACTGCAAGGGGGATGGGCAACAAATTACTGACATCAACACATATCCTTGGGTCCATGCTGAAAATTTTTATATAAGGTGAAGGTGCACTGACCTGGAACCTGTGGCCTGATGGAGGTGATCATTGATTGCTGACATCTGGCCTTGAGAGTCTTACCTTAGTGCCGAGGCTGCCAGCTTCCTGAAACTCATTCCAACACTAAGGAACTGGCAATTTCTGTGAGGCAGTGTGCACTGTCCCGTCTGCCTTTGTTTGTAGGCACTTAGCTTGTATGGGAAACGTGCAAAAAGACAAAACAAAAATCCCCTTTCCTTGCCCTGGAGATTAGAAACAAAAACAAAATAATAACAAATCAACCTTTAAGAGGCTAGGCGTACACACATGTTTAGGGCTCACCAGTTGAGATCGGATAACCTGTCTGAGGGCTTGTTCTCGAGAAGACTGAGTCTCCCTCTCTCAGCAGCTGTTGAATGCCTGTGGCTCTTCCTCTGGAGTGTAGTTTCTATACACACAAATATGTGCATGTATGTATATGCGTGCCACAGTAACTACAGAAGGAATCATGAACTTGAGAGAGTGGGGGGAAACTTTGGAGTAGTTGGAGGGGGAGCACGGGGCCTAGAATACAGTACTGATGTGAAATACCAAAAGTAAAATTTAAAAAGTCAGGAGATGTAATTGATAAATGCATATTTGCAAGAGAATTAATCAGTCTAGAAAAAATGACATTGGAGTAGAGTATAGCTTATCTTCTGACAGTTTTCTTGTTCTATAGCTGTGAGACTCAAGGGGTTGGCATGTCTTCTCCTCACAGTGTGAGGATGAGGTGTGGTCTGTCTGGCTTGTTTACACAGTTGCCTTGTTTGCTGCTTAGTTACTAGCAACCCTGGTCCAAATTTGCATCCAGTATTTTCTTTTGCTTCATGGAAATAGTGATTCTGAGCTACTAAGTGAGAAGAGGAAGAACAGGGATCCAATAACTGAGGACCTAGGGTGGAAGAGGAGACCTTTCTGACCACCTGGAATTGAGCTGGCCTGTTGTAATTGCCACCTTTAGGAGCACATCACTGAATACTGACTGTCAGTCTACTAATTGCTCTTCTGGTTTCCATTGTGTTAGTTCACTGCTCTTACAAGAAGACCTGGGCTAGTCTGTTATCCCTGCATAACAAGGAACAGAAGTTACAGCTGAAAGCAGGAGTCTCTACATCCTTCAGCTTTTAGAGCCTGATCCTTAAGAGGAGCTGAGCAGGAGAACTCAGAATGGAAAGTACTCTTATTCCAGAGTTTAGGAAGTTCCACATCTCAGTTCCCATTGCCCTCCCTTCTCATTACTTACTGGTGGGAGATTTACCTTGCTGTGCTTGTGTCTATGTTTCACAAGCCCTACAAAGAAAATATGACTTCTAGAATACTCTGTATTGAGGCTTTCAATTTTCTTATTGAAAAAATAGGCAAAGGCTTGATCTATCTACCTGTATAAAACAAGGAAGATTGTGTTTGTTTATTTATTTATTTTACACAGCTGAGTGGGAGGTGAAACCCTGAAAAATGGTAGGAAAGGAGCTGAAGATACAGGTCAGTGGTAGAGTACTTGCCTAGCATGTAGGAGGCTCTGGGTTCAATCCCCAGGACTGGGGAAACCAAAACCAGAGCACTAAACAATACTGAATGAGAAAATCGGGAAACAGACTTGAAAGAGCAATCTCAAGGAGATTTAGAGAACTGCTACTGTCCTGTCTTGTTTCTAAACTAGAATTTAGCACTTACTGTTGAGCCAGGTAACAGGATTGCCGCACAAGATCTTGGCTTTTCCCTAGAGGTGATGGACTTACATCAGAAGTGTGGCTAAGAATTTAGTTTTGTAGTGTCCAGAAGACTAGTGGTCTGTTTGCCAACAGTCTATCATTTCTCATTGTATTGATTGGTAAGATATGCACATTATTATAATTCCTTGCCTATTACACATGTTCTACAAGAAAGGAAGTGAATATTTTACATATTTCCATTGTGGAAAAGTTCTATATAACTTTTACTTCTATAGTTATATTTATATAACTATAAAAAGTTATAGCTATATAATTATAACTTTTCACAGACAATTATTGTAAAATAGTGACCAACTTCTTATTATTTTTCAAATGTTGTTGTAGATTACTTGTATGGCATTTTGTGACCCTAGCTAAGGTAAGAACAATTGTGACTTCCTGAAGTCACAGTAACAGTTAAATTGTGACTTGAAGTCATTTCTTCCAGTTCCTTGCTTCAGGCAGGATTTCCCTTTTCCCAGCCATTCCTGAACCTTCTCTAAAAACCTGCCCTGTCCTGGGCTGTAGTGTCTTCACTGAGAGTGCTGCTGTTTTCTTTGCTGTGTGTTTGGCCTTTACTCTTAATCTTAGGCAAAGGGAAATGTGCACCCAAGAATTGATCTTAAGAGTGGGTCAGAGTATTTCTTCCCACAACCTTTCACTGGATATATAACTGATGTGCATGTGACTCAGTTTAAAACATTCTGAACTGTGCATAGTTTTTTGTTGTTGTTGAAGCAACGAGGTCACCTTACTCAGATGTGGTGGTTTTCCTGTGGCAAAAGCAAAGGACTTATCACAAATGGGCATGTAATATAGAGAGGGCTGAATGGTCCTTGTTTGGATGGAAGTGGGCAGACATAGGAAGGCCAATAATAGAATTTTATTGCAGATTTCTTAGTAACAGCACTGCTGAAAGTGGGGATGCCAATCTTTAGTAGCATTCTGATTTATTCTTGTGATATTGATAATGAAATATTGCATCAGGTCCATTTAAAGAATATATAATTGTATTTGAAATGTGTTTTATGTGCATGTCTGTGTAGAACGGGTTAATAAAGTTGTTGAGTAACTTGAACTTGTCAGAAGGCTTCTGGTTTTATTTTTGTGGTTTGTATTTTGAACTGTACTTCCCACCTACTATCTTCTAAAACTGCCTCATCCTGGACAAGCTGATAACGGGACAAGTTCTCAGGATGCTTGTAGTCCAGGGTCATAGGCATGGCTCTGTTTCCTCACCTGGGGGAAGATGGGAAGGACATTATTGGTACTACATCAACTTTAGCAGTCACATGCACCTTCTGGTACCTATGCAAGAATTAAGAATTATAATAGACCATACAACACATACCTTTTATCTGCTGTAAAGAAAAATTGGGGAGATATTTCAGAATTTACTGAGCTGTTATTTCTGCTTGCTTATGGCCAGACTTCAGCCAGTGGTATAAGATGTATTTTGCGTCTTTTGGAGAAGGAGATACAAATGGATGTCCATGTTCTCTTGTCTCATACCAGCACACTAGCAAGGACGCATGGCTTATTAGTAATGCTAATAAGAGGCTTCCTCCTAACCCTACTAAATCAGGATTTTAACAAGATCACTAGGTGGTCTTGTTACAGTGAAAGCTTTCTAAGGGAAAGCATTTCTTACAAGGTAAACATTAAATACTAGTTCATGGTTGATCAACCAGAAGTTGATATACTCTGACTGCTGATGTCAGAGTGGACTAGGGTAACTATATTGTTGGGATCCTCCTCAAAAGCCATGTAGCCCATGACTTTATTGCTGCCGCTGCTGTGTACAGAGATCCAGCCCATCTCTGCTTTATATCTTAGACCTGTAGCTTATGGTCCAGTTCTGAATTAGATATGTGCCCTATGACTGTCATAACATCAGCATCTCAGGGAAAGAAACCATTAAAGTTTACTTGTGCCCCCAGAGTGAGGGTGTGTGTGTCTCCTCACATGCGTTTGGATGTGGGGGTGAGGTAACAGCAGCAGCGCTGGGGATGGGTTCTTTTCACTTTTCTTTGTTCATCATTTGGCTGTGGTATAACAGCTTTGCTTCTCTTTCTGACTCCTAGGAAGTGGAGACTGTGCTGACTGAGCATAGACGCCCCTCAATGGCATCTCTCACATTACTCTCCTGATGTGAGGCTGAGGCCAGACCTCTCCAAGGAACTGGAGCTACTAAAAGGCTTGGGATACCAGCATCATTGAGGCTAGAACAGGAAGTTAAGTGGGAGCTTCTCATTTGAGGCTACCAAAAGCAAGGCCTGGAAAATCTTCACTACATTTTTCCCTCATGCCTAGCAGGAACGTTACTGCATTGTTCCTGAAAATGTCTTTAACAGCCTGAATGAGTTAGTCTTTATCTCTTTTGACTCAAGTTTGCAAATACCATTCTACTTAGGCATTCAATATTCTACTCTGGCTGACTTACTGTATCCTTAGCTGGAGATTTGCCTAACATGGGAATGCACTGCTTCGAAGTTGGTTTCTAGGTGAGGACGACCTTCAGGAAGCCCTTTCTGCTCAGTGAGAGTTGTTTTTTGTGTCTTTTGGAAGTGAGCAGGCTGAAGTGCAGCGTGAGTGCTAGCTGTCACCTCCTGCGGTGTGGGAAATGAGACAGACCACCAGGCAAAAGGAGGGTGTCAGGGACTCAGCTCTGAATGGCTCTTCTCTGCTGACAGAAGAGTAGTATCCATGGCCCTTTTCCATTTAGAGAAGCTTTTCTTCCATGTACTTCGGTGCAGGGTCTGGATGCCAGACTTCCCCAAAGGGGACTGGCCTTTACATTCTCTCATAGCTACTGTGTTTTCTCTCTGAGGCTTGTACCTCACATAACCTCCTGAGGGGTTGGGAATGAAGGCAAGGTGGGACCATCTCCATCCCATAAGGAAATAAAAGTAACTTCTTGAGAATAAATTAAACTGGGGATTTTTTTTTTAATTTTAAAATAGGCAGAGGCAGACATGCCCCTTGCATCCATCTCTGGGATCTCTGGGAAACCCGTGGCTGTGACTGCAAAAGCAGTGGTCCTATGATAGATGCCTGTTCTAGCTGTCACTACTGTGAGCAGCTCATCTCCCACGACACTTGATGCAGCATGGCCTCAGGGCATTAGTGAGTGGATGCTCCTTCTGGGTGAATCCGATTGCTGTTCCTAGGTCACTGAGTATGTGTACACACTGTCACTGCAAATGCACTCCTAGTATGTTACTTTCCTGAGGAAGAATGTGGAAGTCACAAAGAGTATTGTACCTTACAAGTAGAATCTGTGGAGTTTTTTTTTTCCTTTTATTTTTGTTTGTTTCCTTTTCACTTGAAATGCTTACTTGTTGGGCAGAAAGATAAGTAGCAAGACAAGTCATGAAATGTGCTTTTTCTAAATGGTTCTTTTCTATTGTAGACAATACTGGAGACTGTTGCCTAAGTAGGGTGTGATGAACTGCGGGCAGTTCTTTGTCTTCCAACTTGTACCTTACTGTGTATGTACACACATCACCTTGAGAGAGTCTCTTGCCCTGCTTAATGCAGATGATTTTCCCAGGGCTGCTTGCAGCATGCTGTGCTACAAGGGTTTTGTTTTTGTGGTACAAGCTGCTTTCTACATTGAAGTATACTCGTTTCTGATGATCAGGTGGTATTTTTATGAAGCTATTTATTTTGTGTGAGGAGTGTGCATGTATTTAATCAGAATGTAATTTATGTTCTCAGTTTTCCACCAGCAGTGTAGGTGGCTTGAATACTGAGCCTGATGTACGTAGTATTACCTTAAGTTAAATTTGTAAATATCTGTGTATGTGAAAGAATGATAACTATGTTATGACAGTAGATTTTTTTTTAAAAAATTTCTCATTGATTTTATTATAAACCAAGAAATGTATTTCTCTGCAGAAAAGTTCTCTGTTGGTTACTTAAAACCATGCTGAATTATCTGGGTAACATGCACTGCTTTTGTAATAAGAAAATAAAGTTATTTTTAATTAAAAGATACAATGCATTTTCAATTCACACATGAAAGACATCATTTGGTACATTACATATGTACAAAATATTAATATTTTCCAAAATGTACTTAAAAGTTTGTTGAGAACTGAGTCTGAAGTTATTAAATGATATCTATGTTTCTAGCTATTGTGTTTTCAGTTAGTGACTATCAGGTTCTCCTAGCATTTCAAAGTCAGTAGCATTGTTACAACTATGCAATGTTACTAGTGTAGACATTTATTCATTGATTTAGAAATATTTACTGACTGCCCTGATGATTGCCAGGTAATCTCAAACCAGTTCTGGGAAGCTGTAGGCAAGTAAGGTTAAACATACTTCCTTAAGCTGGGGGCAGGGCTATTAAGCCTCCTTAAGTCTTAGAGGCCACTGAGGATAGGCCCCTCCTGGTTGACTTTTGAGCCCACCTATTATTTCCTTGATAACACCAGAAAGGCAAGTCCAGTAGGATTTAATTTACTGTATGAAAAGGTGGAGATACCTCGAATTGTTGAGGTCTATTAAGGTAAAGCTACTTCCTCCTGATCAAAAGAAGAGGATGTAAGTTTTACCTCTCCCCTAGGTAGAGAACTAACATTCTAAGCCTCATAAAACATTATATACTACTGTCTTCTGTTAAGAAGAGTTAACCACCTGGACCTGTCAACCACCTGGCCAGTAGTCCACCCCCAGGAAATTTATTTTCTTGATGCAATATTAAGGAGAGGGAAGAATAACCAATTAAATCAGGCAACAGGACAAGATAGCTAAGTCCCTCCTTTGGAGCAGACAAAGCACTTCTGTCAGGCACTGCAGAGGCCTTCTGCTCTCAGAACATACACCTTTCCCTTCAGTCCTTCTTTCTAAGAGGCCAAAAGTAGAAGTATGTCTTGCAGGCACTCTGGGAAGTATCCCCTCCCCACCCCTGCTTGTCAACCTCCATTGCATACCACATGGCTTTATTTCTTTCTCTTCACCACCTCCCTCCTCTTAGCAGCTTCCTGCTTTGTTGTTTTTCCTTCAAACTAATAAAATTGTTTTCTTCTGATTTGGTTTTAAAATTCTTTTATCAATTAGACTAAGAGCACAAAAAGAAATTCTCTGGTCTCTTGTAATGATTGAATGTTCATTCTTCAGTAGTGAGCGCAAGACTGAGGTAGCTACTAAGTGGAAGCCGATCTGGTGTGGGTGAATGTACTGAGGCATTCAAAACGAGGCTGCTGTGGCTCACAGAAGGCTGGGCTCAGAACAAGTCCACCACTACCTACAAGGAAGACATCAGTTATTTATAATGAGTTCTAGCTACAACGTGTGGATGCCAGTTCAGAGCAGGTGGCTCTGCTGGGCCATTTCTGATTCAAGGTGAAGACTATCGTTCTTTCTACCAATACTTCACTTACTCCAGGACACTGTAACATTGAAGCAATGGCTGACTGCCCATGCAGAAACTCCTACCAGCTCATAAAAGCAGCCCTTTCAGTAGTCTATTGTTAGACATTGTCTCCCTCTGTCTTGCGCACTATCAAAGTACTGAAGTGTGTCTGAGAAACTCGTTTTCTGCCTTCTTGTGTCTTTGGTGCATCCATTCACAGCCTGCATTATCACCTGCCTGTCAGTGATACCCCTGACACAGAAGAGAATTTAGAAAAGTGAGGAGGGAGTGACACTCGGTTTGGTCTTTGCTGGGAAAGTACCATTGATTGGCACCCCATCTTCTGTCCTTAAAGCTGGAGAGTTGTAGGCAGTGGACTGTAAACACTGGCAAATATTGACAAAAGTCAAGGTCATGGCAGGACTATTTGGCCCATGCCTGCTGAGGAAGGATAAACCTGCAGTTTAAAGTGATTGGTCAACTGTTTTGCGTTTCTAGAAACTGGGAAATCTATTAAAAATATTTTTTGTGGTTGCAAAGCCACTGGATATACAGTCTTATTTCTGCGGTTCTTTCCTGTTACAGGGTAGACCCCCCCCCCTTTTTTTTTCATATTTGTTCCAGGGAAAAAATAGAACTCCTTCTCTAGAAGGAAGTTATTCTGATCTTAAGTGGTTAGATGCTTTTGACTAAACTCAGGGTTTAATTCCATCCTGGGTCAAGTAACTTCTCCCCAAATGCTTAGTTGGATTGTGTGCTGTCTGATGTGGCTGATTTCTTCTTTAGCTGGTAAGTATGATTTCCATACAAGATAGATCATGTCAATTTGTATGTGACTAGGCATTCTGTATAGGGTTTAATGAAATTTGCATTATGATATTTATTGAAAGTTCTGTTAAGGTGTATGCTCTATACTTATTGGAGGCTTAGTATACATTGGTCATAGTCTTGCTCCCTGAGATGGTGGCCATTGCTGACTTGCTCTACTTAGTCTGGGATCTCAAAAAGTGACAGTTTCAAAAATCCTGAAACATCTTCTATTAAAAACTGTAGAACTGACACTTGGGAAGGGATTGGTTGTTCAGGAATGGATAACTTATTTCTGAGTTTAACTATGATGCCTTCTGTTTGGAAGTATAACTTTAGAAATTCCTGGAGAATGAGGGATGGTGATACTCATACAATGGAAGAGAGAGGGCAAGGAGTGAGGATTAGTCCAGCAAAGTGAGTGAGGGTTAGTCCACTCAGAGGGAGGGATCTGGTGGGGTGTCCTTGCAGCCAGTGATACGCCAAATGATTCTTTTCGTTGTTGTTGCTGTTTTCCTTCTCACAGAGGGCTGTTCAAAACTTCCTCCAGTGGACAATAGTGTATTTGTTGGAAAGGAGATAGAAGGACAGACTCTGGGGATTTACCTTTGTATCAAAGGCTACCACTTGGTGGGAAAGCAGTCTTTTGTCTTCAGTTCCTCAGAGGAATTGGATGTCTCCCTCCCTGAGTGCCACTGTAAGTTGGGTTTTTTGTTGTTGTTGTCCATATTGTCATCTCCTAAATATTCTTTTATGTCCTCCTTCCTGTAGGCCATGGTAAAATTGTAAAAACTTCTCTCGGGTGCCTCTAAGACAGGATCTCACTACAGTAGCTCATCATGTTCTTCTTGAATTTGATATGTCGCCCCTAGTGACCTGGAACTTGCAAGCCCTCTGCCAGTGCTGGGATTTCAGGCACATCACCAATGCCTGGCCATCATGTTACTTTTAAACTAGGAAAAAAATGTATTCTCAGTTTATATATGTGATAAGTGCACGATTAAGTTCTGATTTACATTGCCTTTTTGAAGCCTGGGGAAGTGTGACTTTTACTTCTTCCTAGCCTCTTAGAGCACTGAATGTTCTCTTTTTCAGTGGGCCACTGTCCCAACCCTGTACTGGAAAATGGCACAGTCAGTTCTTATGGGCCTGTGAATGTAAGTGACAAAATTATGTTTAAATGCAATGACGGTTACATCCTCAGGGGAAGCAACTGGAGTCAATGCCTAGAGAACCACACCTGGGCACCTCCCTTTCCCATCTGCCAAAGCAGTAAGTACTGTTTAGTATTGTCACTCTGGGTAAAATTGCTTTTTGGTGCCATATTAGTGTACAAGCCAGAATAAAACCTTTACTTCCCATCTTGTTGAGTTACTTCCCCTATAACCCATTTTTCCTGCTCTCCTCTCTTCTCTCTCCACCTCTCAAAGAATACTACAGGGAGATACAATTGCCATTTGTTTATATAATATGTTCCTTTGTGAGTAATTCCTGCTATAGGGCACAACTTCTGACCCTCCTGCCTCCACTTCCTGAGTGCTGGGACTATAGGTGTGCCACTGTTCCTGCTATCCGATGCTGGTGATCAAACCCAGGGGGTCCGTGCATGGCAGGCAGGCGCTCTACCAGCCAAGTGATGCCTTCCACCCTACTTTGCCTTTCCTTGTACTCTACCAGTTGGCATCGTGATTGCATGTCGCTCTGTTCCTTGAGCTCTGCCAGTCAGAAAGGATTCACCAGTTCCTTGTAATCCAAGGAATGAGCTGGGCTAAGTCTTTTGCATGGACAGTTATGATTTTCATGACAAAGAGAACATGTTCCCGGGTCTCACTCATACAGTTGTGAAGATGCAGCCTGCTGTATACACAGCATAGGGAGCGCTGTCCATTGACTGTACCCGCTCTTACAAATCTCACTCCAAGATGTCTTTCCCTTAGGAGACTGTGAACCTCCTGGGATTCCTGACCATGGCTATTTTGAAGGAGAAAATTTCACCTCAGAATCTGTTGTTACTTATTTCTGTGAAAGCGGGTAAGCACATGGCCTTTCAGACATGGGATAGTGCTCCCTGGCTGCTTGGCTTTGGAGAATGACTGTCTGTGTCTACCCGATCCCCTCATTTCCTACTGCTGTAGGACTCTGGCTCATTCAGATTTTCAAATCTTTAGCGCAGAAGCTCTCTCCGATATCTAGAAAGCAGATACCTAGTAGAGTACTCTGTTTATCCTAGTTGTGGTAGTTACTTTTCTGTTGCTGTGATAAAAGACTGGGAGCAAGGTAATGTGTAGAAGGAAGCATTGATCTGGGCTTATGGTTCCTGAGGGTTGAGACTCCAGTACTATCATGACAGGGGGCATGACATCAGGTCTGTGATGGCTGGAGCAGCAAGCAGAGAGCTCACATTGTAACCTGCAAGCACTAAGCAGGAGTCTTTAAACCCTCAAAGGCCCCCTGTAGTGATACACTTCCTCTAACAGGGCCACGCCCCCTAAATCTCTCCAAAGCATACTACCAACTAGGGATGAAGTATTCATGTGCTGGAGACTGTAGGGGACACTTCATTCAAACTCCCACACTAGTGAAAGTACTCGTTTCTTCTCAATTACTCAGAATACATGTTCTCTAAATAATCTGTTACACAAATCCAAAGCCCAGTGGAGGAACAGGGTCCCTGCTGCGTACTTAGGGGAAACAAGAATGTTTAGTAGAGGAATGTCTGCACCACTGGGTGAGATACTTCCTATGGTGTGGTCTGGTGTCAGGAGAGCTGTGGGAGCTGGGATAACATTCCATCAGGCTGGGACTCGGGGGAGAGAAAGGAAAAGGATACTGCAGGGAGATGCAATTGCCATTTGTTTATATAATATGTTCCGTTGTGAGTAATTCCTGCTACAGGGCACACTTTAATCTTGTTGGATCATTTTTCTAGCATGATAGACATAACAGTGGTTAGGACCTTTTAGGTTTACATAGGGTATTTTGTGGATGGTGTTACTTCAGTTTGATCTGAGAGGAGCAAGTTTCTGTTAGGTCCCCATGCTGGTTAAAAAGACCTACCCATTTAACTTTTCATCTAAAGGCCATGGGCTTCCATTGGGTAATTATGACTATTACCCAGTTATGGCTGGCTTGTTTTTCTGAGGCCTTTTATTGAGTGTTCTCAAGACTTTAGAGAGATAAGTGGGAGTCTGTCTTTAAAGCCTGATTCAGTTACTTATTCATCTGTTTGATGTGTCCTGCTCCTGATGAATCCTGATCCAATTGGGCTGAAGGGTAGGTGGAAGGCCTTGGTTACTCATCTCCTGTTTCACATCATAACCTAAAAAATGGTCTTGGCAGTTTTCAGTTACCTGTGGATTTCCATATAGAGAGCTTAGTCCAGTAAGCACTGCATGGTAGTCTTTTGGATGGTTCTTTTCTTGACAAATTTGTAGAAGTCTAGTGACAGTGTTAGCACATATCAACTTAAACTGGGCTTACCCTGAGCCTGCTAGAAGGTTCATATTTTCCATCTTACTGTGTGCCACGGATATCATTGAGAACATCCACATAATTTTGATAAGCATTTAAAATGTCTGTCCTCCAAGTCTCCATTATGTTGTAACAGGTTACATCACTCTGGCCTGTATGCCCCATTCAGCTGTGTGGCCTGGCAGGGACTTTTTCAGTCTGACCAGCTTCATTATTTCCAGGTCATTGTAAGGACTGGTGAGCAGCAGCAGCTATAACATTACTTGTTTGTGTTGTATGTTATCCCTCACATGTCTCCTTGGCTCTGTCCCCACATTGAGTGTCTCTGTTAATGGACCTCTGCTAAGTTTGCCAGTAAGGAAGCCAAAATGGAGGAAGGCCTTTGAACATGGCCCACCTTTCTGTGCTTATATTTAGGAGTTTCTCTTCTCACATTACTAGCATCCATACTATGTGGAGTTTGGCCCACTGACTTCTGTAAACTTGACCTTCAGCAACACAAAAACTTTCTGTCTTCCAGTAATAAGTACTGCCAACTGTTAGGGGTGATTTTATTTTGCTGACCCATCACTTTTTAATTGCCTTTCATCTCTTCACTGATGAGTGGTGGTCCAATATTTCATTAGGTATAGTCACTCCTTCTGTCTGATAGTTAACGGGGTACCAAAACCATTGGAGTTCTCTACTGAGTAGTATGTGCTATCTACCCCTTCTGTCTGAGATGTTCTCATTTAACTAAACTAGTTATCAGCACTGTACCCGACTGTGGGTAGGTCTGCAACTAACGTATCTGGCTTCCAGTAATCAGTGTCTTGACAACAGCTCTAGGTGAATGGGTTTTGTGTTTATTAGGACTTCCTGAGCAGTACACTGTTGTTTTCCACCAGACACATACACAGTTAGCCTCTTAGGGCATGTTAATCATCTGTATACTGTCCTTGCTTCACAGCTTATTTTGCTTCCTTACATGCTGTGGAATGAGCTTCTGTCCAGCCCCATACCTCTTGCTTTGTATTCAAATTATAGAGTAGCCTTAGGTGGGAAGGGCCAGGTATGAGATGGAAGCCCTCTAATAGCCAACTAGACCCACAAATCTCTGTATTTGCTTAACCATGTAGGGAGGCAGGAAAGCCTGTACCCAGTCTGTTACATCTGTGGCAATACTTCCATTTTATTGTAACAGACAACACTCAAATATTTCATAAACAATCCAGGTCCTTGGACTTTGTCTGGATTAATGTCTCATCAATGTAATGCAATATTTGAACAGTTGCTGGTTTGGTCCGTTTTGCTAGGTCAGATATTGTTATCTGATGGCATATTGTGAGGCTGGGTAAATAACCCTGAGCAACATGGTGAAAGTCCACTGATGGCTTTCCCGGATGAAGGCAAATGCTCTTGCCATTCAACTACTACCAGAGCTTAAAAAAAGAAAATTATTTGCCAAATCCAGTACATGGAACACAGTGGTGATGGTCCAATTGTGTGCTCAAGAATTAAACAATATAGCAGTGTTGAATATATGCAAATACACCTTATTTAATTCCCAGTAATCCAATCTCCTTAGCTATGCCCCATCAGGCTTTTGCATAGGGCATGAGAGCAAATTAAAGGGGTTACATACCAGCACAGTGATGTTTACCTTTCCCAATTAATGGATCGTTTCTGTAATCTCTTGGTGCTCCCCCAGACCCTTAGAAAGTAGTGGCATGTAACCCTGGAGTTAGTGGTGCCACTGATGTGGTTTCTCAAGATTGGATTTTTGGCCAAGACATGTTTGTTTTCTGTGCACCTTAACCAAAGTTTCCCATGGTACTTTGCAAGCACTTTCCCCATAATATGTCTACTCTCACAATATATACAGGGATTATGGTATAGACCTTTGAGGGCATATGCCTCAGTCTCAAAGTGAGCACTGGGCTGTCTGTGCACCGGAGCTCTCAGTTCCTGTTAAATGGTTCTTAAACTTGCTGGGTTTCTATTATAATTGTATGTTTGGCCCCAGTAGCTAGCTGCATAGTGACTCTCTGTGTTAGAGACCAATTTCTAGCCAACTCCAAATGAGGAGTCTGTTTCATGGGTGTGGAACCTTGGACCAGGTCTATTCATTCTTTTCTCCAGAACCAGAGACTCACTGTACTGTCTGAAGGAGGCAGTGGAAAAGGCCCAGGGAAGCCTATCTTCTCTCGTGGCATTTCCAGCTGGAGGATAGGTCCAGTTTTTACCTTTATGCACTCGCGTGCGCGTACACACACACACACACACACACACACACACACACACACACACACTCACACTCAGCTATTCCAAAGTTCTAAAGGTACACACTGTCTTTTCATAAATAGGAGTTGGAATCTTTTCTTAAGGGAATAATTTCCAATGTTTTATTTTCTACATTTGGCTCATTGTCTATTTTTTAGGTTGTATTATTGCCTGACAATTTCATACATGAAAATAATGTATATTGGTCATTTTTAACCTCCTTACACAACCTTACTCACTAATCTCTCTCCCACTCCCAACAAATTCCTTCTTTCCAACAAGTTTCTCTCCTATTCCTCTGGTGTTAGTGTGTGTGTGTGTCACCCACTGAGATTAATTAGGGCTGTTTGTATTTCGGAGACTTTTCTTGGGCCACTCTCTTTTATAGTCTGAGTACAGTATACCCCTGTATTTTGTCTCTGTCTCCACTGAACCTGTCACTCTTTGAGCTCCTTTTTATATTTGTTGGCGTTGGCATAGCATAGCTATCACAACAATATAAGAGCTCACACATGACTGGAGATACTCAGCGAAAGACAACATCGCTCATCTCTATTATACAAGTCATTATAAACACCAGAAAAAGTCAAAACACACATAGCCTGTTCACGCCATGTCCCTTCAAATATGACTGCAATTTCGTCATTGATGTCTGTTTTTCCCTTGGCATGGAGATGTCTTTAGAGTTGAGCATAGTATGTCTGATGGCAATAGTTAGCCATATTGGCAGTAGCTCCACAATTACAGTGCAGCTCCTGATGGCCTTCATGCCCCACAGTCTCAGTGGGAGGCACACTTTGTTTTAATCTTGAACTTGGCTGTCAGTTCCACTAACTCTACAGGAGTGGAGGGGTGCATTAGGGAGAGGCAGGCAGCCTGAGACAAACAGATTGTGTGGGTCCATATCTTCAAGGGATTTCCATGTTAGGTCTTCTGTGTCTTGGTAGCCTGCTGCAAAATCATACTTGTGAACTTTCAGCTGCTGGGTCAAGCTTTTTGGTGTGTCCTTGCTTTTGAGTGGTGCCGCTCTGGCATCTCTTTTTATTTTATTTTACTTTATTTTATTATTTTATTTTATTTTATTTTTCTTTATTAATTACACTTTACTCACTTTGTATCCCCCCCACCCCGTGGTTCCCTCCCTCCTGCCATCTGGCATCTCTAAGTTGAGCTCTTCCTGTAATCTTTCCACTTGTGAGCCAGCTGTTATTCTTTTGTTGATGGCTTCTGTGAGCCAGCAGGATTGTCATACATAGGCAGCCGCAGCTGTTCAGTTTTCCTTTTGCTTTCCCAAAAATGATTTGTTTGTTGCCTTTAACCTGGGTATCAGTTGTCCTTTTGAGGTAGCCCCATACTCACAAGGTACTTCCCACAAAGCATAATGGGGCTACATCAAATCACACAGGTGGTTTAGGGAAGCCTGGGACTGCCCTGGAGGAACCCATGTCCACATTCAGACTTGTTCACTCCATTCCCCCTTGCAATTCTGCTAACAAGACCAATTTTTAAAAAATTTCTTAAGTAAGGCCTCAGAGGCTTTAAGAGTGACAACTATTTCAAGATACCAAAGAAAAAAATCTCAGAGGACTCAATGGAAGTTTGGACATCTTTTATTTTCAAGCAACCCTTGGTACCGTCAGGCCAGAAAACAAGGATCTGCACCATGCTGACTAATAGAGTAGCATCTATATACAGAGGGAACAGAGACAAATTGGATCCCAGTATTCAGTGTTGCAAAAACAAACTCCTCATGGCTATGTTCAGCATGTTCAGGCCATACCTTCCTTCCTGTTTTACTGTCTTCAAAGGAGAGAAATGCCCCCCCATCAGCACATATGCCTCACATATGACTACACTTTTTAGAACACCTGTAAGAACAGGGCTACTCTGTCAAATATAGACAATGGAATATTTCCCACAGAATCAAAGAGCAGAATCCTTAAGGAAACAAAAATTAAGACATATAATGATTTAGTGTTTAGACCCTTAAAGCATTGTAGTAAGATCTAACCCTCCTTTATATGGTCTGCTCTCCCTCCCTGATGGGTCTCTGCCTTTTTTTTCTCTTGTCTTAATTTAGGTCATGTAACTTGAAGCCTTTAAGTCCCACCTCTCAGTTTTGTATCATTTTTTTTTTTCTGATCACAGGCCACTGCTCCCCTTTAGCCCATTCATATGTACCTTTAATTTAGAGCCTGATACAGATGCCTGTTCAGATTATGAATGATCAAACACTTCTTCCCTCACTAAGCTGCTCCCTCCCCTGCTCCAATACACTGCCTCTGAAGTTCTCATTTCTTCTATGTTATTCTGGATTGACTCCTCCCTTGGATCTGCCCACCATTTCAGGAGAGCTGTTTTAATTCATAGCTGTTTTGTTAGAATGAGATAACTAAGAGGCAGGAAGGTGGATTTGATCACAGTTTGAAACACTAAAATAGAGCTACACAAAACCAGCCTCCATTGCCCACCTTAACAAAAAACCCCAGAATTGCCAAAACAATCCCGTACAACAACAGGTCTTCTGGAGGTATCTCCATTCCTGATCTCAAGCTGTACTGCAGAGCAATAGTAATAAGAGCTGCACAGTACTGGCATGGAAACAGAATGATGGGTCAATGGAATTGAACAGAAGACCCAGAAATAAACACACACACCTACAGATACTTGATTTTTGACAAAGAAGCCAAAACCATACAATGGAAAAAAGACAGCATCTTCAACAAATG